GTAGCACAGGGACCCGGACGTCTCGTTTAGCAGTCGTCAAGAAGGTGCGTGGAAAAAAAAAACAAAGCTCTGGAGAGTGAACCGAAATGCACAAGACGTCGAACCAAGAGCAAGAACACATGTCTTTTCAGGCCCAATGCCGAACGAGAAACGCCAACGGGTTCCACAAGCTCCCGTTGCATCAACCGAACCCTGCAGGTCGGCTTCCGATTTAGCCAACACTACCAGGTCATTTGCGCATAACAGTAGAGTTACATGCGGTGCGCGACGGTCACGACCTACGCGGGCACTTCGGCAAACTGCACGATACCGGCAGAGATGCCATCAAAAAGGATATTTTGAACAAGAGCGGGCCAAAGACACTGCCTTGGCGGACACAGGCCCGTTCATCCCACGGCTCAGACAGAGCACCACTAACCCATACCAAGTACTTGCTCCGTATGCGTCTGGCGTGACGGAGGCTTTTGCGTATTTTTTTCACGCACCTTTTTACGTCCGCCTAACTCGCAAGTCCAAGTCCTCGTGCAACCTGCGCGCTACGGGCCGAGGCGGCTGGGGCTGGGAGGGACTGCATCGTGCAGTGCGTCCTGAAGTGGCGGGTGCTTCGCGCCAGGCAGGGCGCCAGCGATGTACGGCGCTCCGAGCAGCGTGGCAGCAAGTGTGCTTTGCAAAGCCACGCTCAAGAAACCCCATGCACCAGCGGCGCAGCCAGCCCTGCCTGGCTGCAGTGTGCACGGCGGCAGGAGCGCGCTGGGCTCGGAGTCGCACGAGTTGGGTGACTAGGCGTAGGATTCAGCGCTCCAGCGTCGTCCAGCTTCGTATGCGAGGACACAACAAAGACGCTGCCGCCCGGGTCGCAGCATCTCAGGGTAGGCCATACGTTTGCGCCTCTCTGCGACAACGATGGCAGCGCCGTTGCGCGTGGCAGCAGAAGGACGGGCCTGTCATGGCCCGTCCCTCACGCGTTAGAATGCACTTTCCCTCTGTGATGAGGACAAGGCACCCGCATCCATGCACAGTGGGAGTGGACCGGGCGGCGCTATAACGGTCGCGGAGCGGCGCAAGCACAGCACGTGCCCGGAGCTCGCGAGGGGCGGCCCACAAAAGCTGCTGGTGCTCGGCTCGGAGATCGGGGCCCGCTGGAACGCAACAGCGCAGCACTTCGTTCGCGACCTCGTCCGCCTCCGCGCTCTCCGTGCAGGGCCCGCAGTGTGTCGCGCCGCGTCCGAGGCGCCCATCCGCTTGTGTAATATAATGCCGTAGGATTGTCGTAGCTACCGGGTCTTCTTGCAGTTGTAAAAGTCCGCTAAAAAAAGGGATGTGCGGTACTTGGCATCGGACGACGCCCCCGCCGCACAATGGGCATCCTAGGGAGACTGCTTGCCGACTTCAGCCGCTCGTCTGGTCCGGGCACCGCAGTCCTTGACCGAAACCGTGCTGCCCCCCTTTGGGAGCACGTCATGCGGCCGCTGGCTCCCGCGAGCAGGCTTACGATGTTCCCGCGTAGGATTCACGAACGCGAGTTTGGAGACTTTTTGCGAGGCTGGCAGCATCGTGCTGCCAGTCGCACCACGCACGTGCCCGTGCCGCGGTCGCCTTGCTTCCTTCGGCGGCCAAAGGGTCGAGTTGTCGATCGCGCCGCCAGACGCAAATGCCACCTGCAGGCCCACCCCGAAAAGGACGCAAAGATGATCAAAGATGACAGGAGGATTCGGTAAGACCCATGCGATAGCAGCAGGACTATTGAGCAAGTGATTAGGCCAAGTAGTCCGAGCTTGCACGCGCTCGCCGCTGCCGCCTGGTGGGCATCGGCGTTAGTTGAGGTTGGGGGGCCTGTTTGGCGCAGAGGCTGCCACCTGACTCCGGTTGCTCGTGCCTCGGACGCGCAGGCGGCCACGCGAGCAGCGGCGCGTGTGGCGCGGGTGGGTAGGTGGTAACGGCTTGCCGCAGCCTTGTTAGCATTGTCTCATTCTGTCGCATAATGCTGGGCATAGGCACAGCCAGCATGCCAGGTGATTTTTTTTGTTTTTTCTTTTCCTTCCGTAACAAAATGAAACATGGGGACCCCGCCCCATAGCATAAGCATCCCGAACACGCCCGGCACATTTTTTAGAGCCCGGCTGGCACGCCGATGCCGAAGGGCGCGGCCGCGGCGATTTTTTCGCGTTGTTGAATGCACGGCGCAAGACGGCCCAGTTGTTTCGCGCTTCGTGTGAAATATGTCGGCCATGCTAGGTTTCGGGGGGGTGTTGAGGGTCGCGGTGCTGAGGGCGGAATCGAGATTTTTTCGATTTTCTCAAACATTCCTTGCATGCCCTTCGTTCGGGCGGTTGTTTTTTCAGCGTGTTGCGTGTTTGGCACAAGACGGCGCGGCCCAGGCCTTATTTTTTCGCGCTTCGCGTGAAATCTGCCGGGCCTGGCCGGCATGCCGGACGGGGGAGGTGCTGAGGGCTGCGGCGCTTTCGCATTTTGCATGAAGTATGCCGCGGAAGCCCCCCCCGCTGGGCTTTTTCCCGCCCGCATTCCCAGTGACGCCAGCCGCCGGCGTCGGCCTGTGCAAGGCTCGCATTATGACGCATTTCCTGCCTAAGGCCTAGGATGTTCCAAAATCAATAAAGAGTATAAGAAGAGCATATACGAAAGAGCATAAGCGCCAAAGAGCATAAGCAAAAGAGCATAAGCACAAAAGAGCATAAGCAAAAGAGCAGAAGCACAAAAGAGCATAAGCAAAAGAGCACAAGCACAAAAGAGCATAAGCAAAAGAGCATTCGAACAAGATGGCATAAGCAAAAGAGCATACGCACAAAAGGGCATAAGCAAATGATCAGAATCAAGACAACGTAAGCAATAGGGCATAACCACACAAACGTAAGCGAGTACTTTTCTTTGCAGCACCAACAATATTAACAATACCAACAACAGCAGCAACAACAGCAGCAACAGCAACAGCCTTCTACTTTCCAACCCACACGAGACAACTACTCGTTTGGGCTGGAAACAAGCCCGGTTGGGTGGGTGGGGTGGGGCCTGGTGGGGTCGGGGGGGGGTGGGTGGGGGGTGTGGGGTGGGGTGGGGTGTTGGGGTGGTGAGGGGGGTTGGTCCCGCTTACGCTTTTTTTATGCTCTTTTGTTCCGGGCATGCTTATGCTCTTTTTATGCTTTTTACAGTGTATACAACATAAAAGCATATCCGGCCTCCCCGGGCGGGGGGGAGAGGGTCGGGCCAGGGCACAGAGGAGGCGGATATGGTTTTTTTATGCTCTTTACATTGTAAAAAGCATAAACAGAGCAGACCCGGGGGTCGGGCCGGGTAGGGACCGGAAAGGCTCTTTTCATGCTCTTTATCCGGCCCCACGACGCCCCGCCCCCACCCCGCCCCCCCCTGCGCCTTAGCGCCGCCCCGCTCTGCCCAGCATGATTCTAGCATCAGCATGCTCGGAGCAGAGATGCCTTTGCAGAAGCATAATTTTCGTGTAAGCGGAGCCAACAACAACGACCAGAACAACCCATGACGGCCATAACGGGCCATAACGCCATGAGGTATGCGAGAAGAAAAACGTACACTTTTTTGCTTATAATCCCCCTATACCACTTAAACATATGTGACTATGCGGTTCTGCAGGTAAACGAAGTTTTTGCGTCTGTGTTGTTGTTGTTGCTTCTTTGTTGCTTATGCTCTTTTGCTTATGCTCTTTTATGCTTTTGCTCTTTTGCTTATGCCCATTTGTGCTTGTGCTCATTTGCTTATGCTCTTTTGTGCTTATGCTCTTTTGCTTATGCTCTTTTGTGCTTATGCTCTTTTGCTTATGCTCCTTTGTGCTTATGTTCTTTTGCTTATGCTCTTTTGCTTATGATCTTCTTGTGCTTATGCTCTTTTTGTGCTTATGCTCTTTTGCTTATGCTCTTTTGTGCCCAGCTTGTGCTTTCCGGTGTTTGGAGCTTTAGGCCAAAAGATACTCATAAGGCTCGCAATGCGTACGCCAACGCGGTACAATCTGGCAGCAATGAACCGCGCGACATCGCGCAACGTCGGGATCGGTGTGGCGAATTGGTCCTTCAGCGCAACCGTGTCCAGCCAGTCCCGAGATGTTTGGGCAGCGGAGGGCTGGCATCGAAGCGGCGGCCGGAACCATGCCGCGGGTGAGTTGTTCGTCGGGTCGGGAGCACCTGCCGTAGGCGGTGGTCGTGCAGCGGCAGGAGCTCCGAGCCTTGTGCCGAGGTCTTTGCCGAGACGCCGGCGTCGGCCGGTGTTCGGCGAACGCATGCCCCCCGGCATGCTCGGCATGTTGCCCCGAAAACCGCGACGAAACGGCAATCGCATCACTGCCGTGACAGCCAGCCTTGTGGCCGAGACTACACATGCTCGCGCGACCTTCGGCAATTCCAATTTGGCTTAAGTTGCCACCACCTCACGGCACCTTGGCTGGCTTTCGGATAGAGTTTGATGCAATGGATGGCACAGGAAGTTCACCGGGGTCGTGCCAACACTGGTTTGCACCGGAGGTACCTCCGCCTACTGCATGCTGGGGGCCGTGGTGCTTGTCTTGGGGCTGGTTCTGCCTTGGGGTGTATAGGTGTGGTGGCCAGCGGACTCTCGTTGGTTTTCGACCCGCCCAAAACCGCACCAAGGATTTTGCGAGCATTGCGTGGGCACTTTTCTAGGACCCGGACCCGGAAGCCTCGTCTTGGACAGCCTATCCAGCCAAGGAGGCCTAGGGAGCCAGGAGCTTGCCACCAACACGCGCATTGAGGGGAAACCCAAAGCAGTAAGATGTTTTGGAGAAACCATTCGCCGACACTTGCGAGAACATTCAACAAGTGGTTCGGATGTTGTGACGGTGCTTGTCACGTTTGGCGTGCGGCCGCGGGAAAAGTTTGCTCGAGCTCGGTTTGCAACAGCACCAGACGTCCGACCAAGCTTCGCCCCCAGATTGGTCAAACTCAGTACCGTCGTGTGGCTCCTTGTTTTGCAGCCAAGGTTGGACAGTTGGTTGTACCGTCATGCCGTTGGAAGGGAATGCGGACATGATTGTCGACGTCTTAGCACATCTCAGCATGGTCACGGCCAGGCAGGCGGTAGGCCACGCCGATGTGGCTGCATGTCTCACGCCAGGTTTGGAGGCAAGCTGTTGACACAGAACTTCGCTTGGCTGCACAGTGGGAGGATCGTCACCCATCGCAACAGAGGATGGGACATGCGCTCCTGGCAGGAGAGCTGGGGCTTTCTCAGAGAACAGAACGCAAAAGACGATGCCAAGCGACAAAAGGCCAGCTGATTGCAGCGAAAAGCGACATAGTTGTACGAGCACGTGGAATAGCCATGGCTCTTGTCCCGAAGGTTGTGTTGCCAAAACTGTCAGACACGCTAATGCCCAAGTCGCCGCAAGCCACGTTGCAGACATTGTTGCAGCAGAGGTGTTTGAGATTCCGAGCTTGTTGAGGAAGGGTTATGGCAGCGTTGCCGGAGCACCGGCAGCTTCAAAGGAGTTTTTGTTGAATATCTTGATTGTTTTGACGTTGCCATTTGATTCAAGAAGTTGGCGGCACAGCTTGCGCAGGACAGTTCTCACGACCTTCCCGTCAGCACCCCTCGTTTGTTCCTAGTCGCTCACCCGGCGAGTCTCTCGATGTTGTCGATGGATGCACTGTGAAATTCTGTGTGGCTCGTCCTGCAAGGCAACATCGCAGCAGGCTTACAAACAGCGACCGCCGATTGAAAAGCAAGAGCCCCGCTGCTGCCACACAGTGTGGCTGGTCACCGTAGCTCCCTCAAGCCAAGGTTGCACATGAAGAGGTGGACTGTCAGGCTTGCTTGCTCTTGCTGTTTCTGATTTTGTGAAGTGGGATTTGTCAGTACTAGCAGTTTCGAGCACCTACCGAGATTTATCACTAGCAGCTAGCAGCGAGGAATATCCGCACAATAATTGCAACGGTGTATCGTATCGTAGCACTGGAATCATCGAGGGAAGTTGCAATTGGCACTGCAAACAACAGGTCAAGTCTTTGATGTAATTTGACCGGCATTACCGCAGTAGATCTAGAACCCGCAGGCGCGATCCTGAGCTTTGGCCGACTATTTGTCCAGCAAAATAGCCGATGGACAAGCAGACCGACACCAACTTTTATGCTCGAAGCCCGAAGTTGCTTAAAGCATTATTGGCTTTGGGGTGTGTTTGTCTCGGAGAGACGCACACGTGTGAGGGAACGTGTGTTAGGCCGGAAGAAGTCGTGGAGAAGCTTCCTGCTTCTCCAGCCTTATGGCAAGGTCCCCCTGGATGCACGTTTTAGCAATGCTCGTGGAATGTCCAAGCAGGGCGACGGGAAGCGATGTGACCGAAGCCACGAGCAGTTGCAGATCTTTCATAGGAGCGACAAGTGCCCAAGGCACTCATGTTGCCTGCTTGACTGATTATCCGTAGCAAGTTTAGCATCCCCGTGTGCTGCGAAAACATATCTTTTGCAAGGCAACGCGCTGGCATCGAGTGTAGACTGTTGAAGATCCAATTGACAAGCAGCTGGCCCGCGATGCTGATATGCCAGTGTTGTCCTGCAGGAGATGGCGAGATACCGGGGAAAAAAGCATTGAATCAGCAGAGGAGACATGAGATCATGTTTGCTTGGCACACAACTCTTGAACTCCCATTCAAAAATCAGAAGGTTCATTCATGGAGATCGGTTCGGATCACAGTTTGTGTCTCTAGGTTTGTTGTCAGACTGAGCACCCCGAAAGCAAAAGCCACAGACATGGAACTTTCAACGTGGTAGAAATGTGTCCGCGACGTTCCAGGGCTGACTGCTTTTATGCTTGCATGAGACGAGGAAGGCATAACAAGGAAACACATTCAGGTGTCGTATGGAGTCGTGCTCCATTGCATGCTTCACGATCTCCCGTCCGTGGAACCATGGCATCACGATGCAAAGGAACAACGTGATGCTTTGCAGTCATGCACTTAAATCTCTTTGTAGCTGTGTGCATTTGAGCTCTCGTTAAGCATCCGGAGCGACGGTTGACTCCAGGCACTTGCTTTCGGAACAACTTCCCGGGGTACAGGCTTGTTGGCAGGCAGAGCCTTTTGACTCGCCAGTCCATGTATGAGCCCTGGTCAGCTCTTGCGACAGGCCCGGCATGGTCGTGGACTGGTTGCTGGACGACGATATGTCGGCGACCAGGGAATGCCAGGATTTCCCGAACGAACTAGGCATTGGGCGATGGATAGCAACAGGCGCAGGAACGGACGAGTACGGGAACGTTAGAAACAAGAGTCGAATGAGGAACCGGAGTCTCGCCTGCTCCTCTTTCCCTTTGCAAGAGGAGTGCACAGTCGTAGCTCGGAAGCTGTCACCAAGCCATGACTAACATCAAGGGTGCAACAGTCTGGATTGCTTCGAGGCTTCGTCGCGATTGACTGATCCTCTGATCATGTATGTTCGTGCAAGGCACCTCGAGAAGAGGTGTTTCGTGACAGACCCCTGGTGCCGATCCCAGTTTGGTGCCACATACCGAGTGGCAGTGATTCTGAAGCAACCGTGCCATTCAACCCAACTACAGTGATGGGGTCTATGTCCAGGTGGCACTTCAACACATCTTCTCCCAACGGATGACAAGCTGCTGTGCTGCGCACATGTCTTAGCAAGGAAGAGATACAGCTGCTCAATGTTGCTTTGATTTGCTCAAAGTTTAATTTGCTGTGCACTGCGAGTGCCGGTTCCCGTCCCATCCCTCTGCCAGCTTGCTTGTGCTCTGCTTTGCACAAGTCTGCTCACTGTTTGTCGCTTGTCACTTCTTCATCTGCTGTCCTGTGTGCACCAGACAGGTGCATGGCGCCAGTGGGCAGTTTCCGAGATCTGCTTCAGCAGTGTCTTGATTGCATTTGATTGCATGTTCAAGCTTCTCTAACAGCTTCAGGCTTTCGCAGTTTGTCCGCTGTACCAAGTAAGCATTTGAGAACGTTCAGTAGCTGTCTTGTGTCCGCTCATTGTCCTGGGTTGAGGATCTTGCGGAATGCTGGTTGCACACTGGAGCCGGCAGCTTGAAAGTGAACAAGCCATGCTGAAGACGATGATGTGCTGAGGTCCTTTGGTGTAGACTCTCACAACCTTCTGGGCCACACGCTCTGGGAGTGTTTGATCGAGTAATCGTTCAACATTGCCATGCAAGGACATCCATGCCTTCGTGGCTTGGCAGCTGTGCCCTGTGACACGGAAGGTGTGATGGCCTGTTTTGTGAGCAGGGAGCATCAGGGAACCAAACAAGTGTGCACACACGCTGTTTATCGCCGACTCAACGCGCCCAAAGGGTTGCCACCACTAGTGGCTCAACCCCGTCCATGACGAAGCGGACGTGGCCCAGAAAGCGGCTTGCAGTCCCAGTCACTCGATGGCATGATGGTACTGATGGTGATCGCCCCAGGTAGCTCCAAGGCCGCCATCAATCAAAGCGACTAGCCTTTGTTGGAGCCCATACAGATACATAGATCAGAACCGATTGCTCAATCATCCAAGACTGCACAATCAAAGCGCATCCGTGAATGCACAACCAGACCGATTAGACAACGAAGAAGCCAAAATCACGTAACCAAACTTCTCGCATTTGCTTCCTGGGAATCGCTTGCGATAGGTCAGCTTAGGGTATCTTGCGTTGGGTCGGGTTGGGTGGGTCGGTCAGGCTCGGGTGTAGCTTATGTCAGGGTTAGGGTTAGGTTGGGCGGCGTGGGGTGGTTGGAGGTCCGGTGCAGGTGAGGCTACCGTGCGTCTTCTGGGTGGGGAGGGGTTTCGTTTGGTTGTGTTAGGTCGTGCTGGGTTAGGTTAGCTTTGGGGGGTCAGGTTTAGCCTAAATGGGAGGGTTTCGTGTTTGTGCTGGGTTAGGTTAGGTGAGGGTTGGGGGGTTAAGTTTTCGGTAGCTGTTCAGGTTGTGCCACGAGGGCCGGTGCCCACCGGCATAACAGCACAGATCAACACAGACAACGAGCGTCAAGCTGCAAGCTGCAAAGGACCGTCCGTCACTCGAAGCCGGCGCCAAGCTTAAATGTCTGACAGTTCCAATCCACAGCCCAACCACAAGACACTTTCAGTCAGCAGCAGGGTCAAAAAGATTCCAATCCTGTCAACTCTTGCGAAGCTTCAAGCGGGCGAGCCAGGATGCAAAGCTTTGTTTTGCAGCGAGAGGTGCCGAGCGCGGGGCCCGCGAACATGACTTCCGACACAAAGAGGGGACTCACTAAGTTTCCAAGTCCAGTCGCATGGGCTGTCTTGAGGTAGAAGAGGTATCCCGTGGTGCGCATCGTCTACTTTGCTGTGAGCTACATGGTGATTCAAGTCGGATGAGGCGCAGCGGCTGAGCACCGTCCTTCTTCATCAGATTCGCATCTTTGTGCGCTTGGGTCGGATAGAGCCGGATCTCTGGCAACACAGGTCCTGGACATGCTTCAAGTCCCTGGCTGGCCGCTGAGTGAGACACCTCGGGAGCTTCATCGTAGCGGACTGCCAACAACTTCACTGGAAACTTTCAAGGCATCTTCTTGTGCGTACTGTCTCTTCCGTGCAGTCCTGGCTCGAGAAAGGGTGGCCCAAACTTTTCCGGGCATGAAACGACCAGCGCAGAACAGGCTCGCTTCTTTCAGTGACACGCATTTTTAGCCGGGGGACCTCCGCCGCCTCCTCCTCTTCAGCAGCAAATTGGCCATGACCATTGCATGACGAGTTGAGTAGCGGTGATTGCCACCGGCACTTTGTGTTCTTTGAAGAGTTGCATGGTAATACGGGGTGCTGGATAAACAGCACGCAGTTGCAGACATGTAGTAGTGCTACTACGTGGCACGGTGGTGGTATCACTTGTGCCTGATGCTGTGGTGCCCATGCTGCCAGACGGGCGGGAAACGTTTTCGATTTCAGTTACAAGAGCATGGCCCACGAACGTTTCCGGAGACTCGTGCCGTCTTCTATCATCCATGTTCCACATCGAAAGGGGTTGCAGTCCGAGGGCACGGCAGCGTCTACGTTGAAGGAACCATGGCACGCCCAACGTGGCCCTCCTCTCGGTGCTGCGGAAGATACCCAAGGGACAGACGCGATCAAAGATGGAGGTGCGGAGTTTGTTTGGGCCGGCAACTCCAAAGTTTAAGTCGTTGCAGGTTTTCCGACAAGTTTTGCAAGAGCTCGACCGCGGAGATGAAGGTATTGACACAGGCAGGCACACTAAGACGAAGAGCAGTTCCACGTCGTTTTTTCGGCGCAAGGCATTCGAGCTCAGCTAGGCAGTCAACTTCAAGCTGTGGTCGCGCAGCGGGCTCATGGCTGGCACCGAGTGGTGAGTTCTGACGGAGGTTTCTGGAACAAGGAGATGGCAGCATCTTGCAGGTTATGTGATGTTGCTTGGTTCCGTTCTCAGTCTCAAGAGGAGCAGCTGCCACTTCTCCAAACCGAAGGGGCGCGGCCAAGGCTTCCAGCTTTCCGCTTTACACGCTCGACACATCTCGCATTGTTTGCCGAGGTCTGGTGAATCTGTGCTATCCTGGGCAGGAAGGTGCAAGGCGACATTTGTGGCTAGTTATCGTGCTTCTTCGGGACGCCTTGCCTTGACGTGTCATGACCCACGCCTGATGCCCAGCTGCAGAAAGAGCTGGGCGACTTTAGCGTTGGATTTTCCGTCGCCGTGGTCTCGTGAGGCGTGGAGAAATGGCAGCCTGAAGCTGTGGAGCCACTGCATAGCAAGGCTACTCTGAAGGATTGCACCGCGGAGCAGCAGTAAGTCCGGTGTCGATGCATCGAATGTGTCAAGGAGCGCCTCGTGCTCTCGGGGGGCAAGTTTTTTTGTCATCCGGACATCCCAAAGCCACTGCCGCCCGCCTTTCCACGCAAGCGTACCTCGCAAAAGAAGCCGCTGGGTCGAATAAGGTTGTGTGAGTTTATTATTGAACGGAGAGACCATGGACTACGGCATGTTCCAGCAGGCCCCACAGGCCGTGCAAGACCTTCAAGGCAGCCATGAAAATGGACACTTGGACACAACAGGAAGGTTCTGAAATACTTTAGGGCCTTCCTCTAACGGTAACTCTTTATGTGGTTTTGGGTACCAAAGTGAACACTTAAATCTGGACAAGTGAGCACTTGTCCTGGCCCGGTAAACACTGATTTTGGTGGTAAAGTGAACACTTATCCTGGCCAGGTGAACATTTATTTTGCTGGGAAAGTGAACACTTATCCTGGCCCGGTGAACACTCATTTTGGTGGGAAAGTGAACACTTATCCTGAACATGTATTTTGGAACACTTATCTTGGCCTGTTGACTTCCCAGCGAAATAAGCGTTCACCGGGCCAGGATAACTGTTCACTTTCCCAGCAAAATAAGTGTTCACAGGGCCAGGATAAGTGTTGATTTTCCCACCAAAATGAGTGTCCACGGGGCCAGGATACGTGTTCACCTTCGCAGCAAAATGAGTGTTCACCTGGCCAGGATAAGTACTCCACCAAAATGAGTGTTCACCTGGCCAGGATAAGTGTTCACCTTTTCACCAAAATAAGTGTTCACCGGGCCAGGCCACGTGTTCACTTTCCCAGCAAAATACTTGTTCACCTGGCCAGGAGAAGTGTTCACCTCCCCCCAAAATAAGTGTAAACCTGGCCAGGATAAGTGTTCACATTCCCCGCGAAGTAAGTGCTCACTTGGCCCGGATAAGTGTTCAAAACCATACCCAACCATAACCGAAATAGGCCAGGACATCCGGTCTAAAGAGGGGGGGTCGTTTTGCTGTTAGAGGCAGGCACTAAGAAATACTTGTCCAGCCTGTGCGTGCACGTGCTATAGCTTGTGTGGCCAAAGGGAGACTTGATGTCAGGTGCGGCCGAGACTGCATCAGGCCTTGGGCGCCGAAGAGTTTGCAGAACTTCGGCGCACAGGCTCGGGCGAAGCTTGGTTGCTGCCATCGCTGTGCAATTCTTGTCACTGGAGGGGCGGTGCGAGTTCGCAGTATCTTGCATTCCGAGGAGCAAATGGGAGCAGGAGGGGGGGAAACGTGGGGGGGGGGGGGGGGGGGGGTGCAGGAATGCGCGCAGTTGCTGGACTGCGCATCACGCGCCAATTTCCCGGATGTGCGCCGCCTCGATGGGGAGGCACAAGATCCCGTGTAGACAGAACTGCAATGAATCGCCCAGCCCATGGCAAGGCTGGTCGAGGTGGTGCTTATCACTTTTGCGAAGGGAGTGCTCCAACCCTGGTTGAAGCAATCCGCACCTCCTTGTACGCAGCTTTGCTGAGAAGCCGAGCCACAGCTATGCCCAGCTATGTCCCTCCACATCTTGCGCTGCATGATGCTTAGGAGTCCATCCTGGAGCATCTGCCGTCGCTGTCGGAAAGATTCGGCAAAACCTTGGCAGCTCTGGAAAAGCGATGCCGTGCTGCCGGACAGCCAGCTAACTCAGAGTTCGGAGAGCTCTCCTCCGACATACACATTTGTTTTTTGGACGCTTGTCGGTCCCTGAGCTGTCGAGGCGACGTTGTGCAACCATTTTCTTGGCATTTGGCGAGGATCGATGATCGATGCTCATTGCATCTTCGTAGTTGCCAGATGCTTGTCACGCATGATGTCTGCAACCTCCGTGTGCAGGGCGGTGTCAACTTGGCGCATCAGGACGGGTCTGGAGAGACAGCTCACAATTGCAAGACAAAGTTTTCTTGTGCACTAGAAAGCTAGGAGACATATGTCAACTAGAGTTATTGGTGAAGAAAAGACTTGTATAAATGCCAGCAGGTGGGGGACGGCACCACGCCACGCATGCCCAACCCATCAAGCCGACCATTGCAAAGCGCAACAAACAAAATGGGTCAAACCATTTTGGCTCAAGATTCGGCATCCCCACGGCTCTCGGTGAGCAGTAGCAAAACAAGAGCGATGTTTTGCGAGCGGCTTGCAGTGCAGTAGATCTTAGCGAAGATCCGCATTGGTAGCGGAGCAGGGTATGCCGGAGGACAGCAATCTTGCGAGCAGCAGCCCAGAAGCGAGCGATGCCACGATGGCCAGTGGCGATACTGGTGATCAAGGCAATCAGCGACAGCAACAGTGGGCACCGCAAGCGTGGTGGACACAGCTTAGCGACAATGCGTGTCAGTATACCTGGCCAGGTGATGTGTGGAGCGCTCGCAATTGGAATTACGATGCCAGCTGGCGAGCAGGCCTGTAAGGGAGAGCAGGATCGTCAGGTTGGAGTAGGGGCAACCAGTCCGGTTCATGGTCCAGTTGGGCCCACGTCAGTCGGCCGGAGGGGCAGGGCTCATGAGCATGAGTCAGAAGCACAGCGCAGGGCGTCGGTGCAATCGGGAACTCAGTCTACTGAGGCAGCAGCACCGTCAGATGAGCATGACATGGATCCTGATGACAAAGACCCCAAGGACAGCGACATGGGAATCTCATGGGGGAAGCGGAGAGATGCACCTAAGATTGGGAAGGGCTATGTCGCGGAACTTGACACAGGATACCCAGCGCCCAGCAACTGAACTTGCAGATCTGCGGGAGACGCGCGGCCCCAGCAATCCCTGATGTCCAATTGCTCCCCAGCCTTACATCGTGAGTGCAGCAGGATGGAATATTCAAGGTAAACCCATTGCTGACATTGCGACTGCATGGCCGACCCAGGTCTGGAAGGTTGTGATTTGATTTCCTTGGCCTTCAGGAGGTTGGGGGTCTTCGGGACTTGCAATGTTGAACAAGTCATCCCACTTGATGTAGGAATTTGTGTTGTCTTTGAAGTTGGCAGGTTATAGACAAGTCGTAATTGGTGCGCACTTGCCTCACCGCCAGCGAGAAGATTGTTTGGTCTGTTTGTCAGGCTGGCAAACTTTTACCCAGCAGCTCGATAATATATTACGTCGCCGAAGATATCAAGATGTGCTCATCCTGACACTCGACACCAATTATGAGCTTTATTCTACGGAGCAAGAATTGAGCAGGGTAGACGAGCGCCAAGTTTCTTCCCGACTCCTCCCCCGCAACCACGGGCTTCTGCGCACGCGCCCCGACACACATACCTGGCGCAACACGACAGGAGCCTCGTCTAAGATGGACTATATGCTGCTGTCTTCGCACAAATCCTATAGGCCTCCGAGATCGACGAACAAGTGTGGCAAATGGAGTGCTGACCCGAGCAAAGTCTTTCTACTGGCTCAGGACCTTTGTCACAAGCTGGGTCTGAGCAGTAGAGACGGGACAAGCGACGACCTAGCAAACCCTGCCACGAAAACGTAAGAAGAGGTTTGTGAGGTTCTTGCCACGTGTAAGCATGGGAAGTGTTGCGGACCGGACGGAGTGTCCTATGAGCTACTTCACCTGCTAATGCAGACTGAGTGTCGTGTACACCTTGTTGAGATATTCAACTCTGTCCTTTCCAGACGCCCCATTCCCTCTGGCTGGTTGAGTTCTCGACTAACCCTGCTGCCAAAGGCGGCAACTCTCATGAGTTTATTGGGGGAGCTTCGACCTATTGTTCTATCTACTCCCCCGAACAAGCTTTTCAGCAAAATCCTGCTCATGCGTCTCCGCCCCAGATTCTCCGCCCCAGTAGCCAATCAGCTCTGTGGCATTCCTGAGGTCCCAGACACTCGATGGTTCGTGCTGTTTGCAACATTTCGTTCGACTCAGCCAAGAATTCAGGTTGCCATGAATTGTGATCAAACTAGATATAGCATCCGCTTTCGACAATTTTAGCCAGCAGTTGCACGCTACTTGAACGCTGCGGACCCTGTGTTGAGTTTCATGTTCTCTTGTCGATCATCATTGCCAGCAGTGTGACGATTTCGATTGCTGATGCATCCTGGGTCCAGGCTTTGCAGCGTGAAATCCTCCAAGGGTCTTCGTACTCGGCGGAGCTATTTGCTCGTACTATCGACTTTTTTCTAGGCGCCCTAGTCCAGCAGTGGTACGACGAGGAAGAAACATGGCTGCAAAATTCTGATCCCGGCGGCACCTTCCGGAAAGTCTTCATCCTAATGTACGCGGATGATTTCATACTCCTAGCAATGTCGCATGCCCAAGCGACACCACTACCCCAACAGTAATTGCAACAATTGGTCTCCAACTGTCTCTTCGTAAGTCGTAAGTGCAAGTTCATCGCGTCCCCGTGCCTACCCAGGCGACTTATCTATGCCAGCACTGTCCCTATTCCCATGGTCCCATCTTTTAGCTTTTAAGTTCCTTGGTATCCTGATTCGGCGTTTCCTGCGAATCAGTTCCAGGTGCCTCGCTCGCCAGCGCCACCAATGCCTTCTGGGGGTGCTATATTCTGCTAAAACCAAGCTCGATCTCTTCAATCGGTTCATAACGAGCCGTTGGCGCTGGATGTCACCCGCTGTAAGACTGCTGGTCTCCATAAGTGAGATACTGATCCACACAAACTTTCTCGTCTCAATTTTCGAGTTTCCTGGGGATTCATTTATGAGAGGTGTGGAAAACTGGGTGACTAAAAGAAGAGGTTCTCGCAGGGCCGCACAGGCCCTCCAACTTTCGTCGTGGGAAGGTTTTCAGGCATATGCATTTTGTACGTATTGGGGTCACGTTTCCCGTATACATAAATCCCGGTGCAGCCCAATCTCCACTGCCATTCGACTTTGAGATGCACGATGGGCCTGCCGAGCATGCATGAATACCAAATGACAGCCCGGGTACTGGCCCAACGCACGCCGCTTTTTGCAGATGCTGTGGGACACAGCGTCCGATCGGCGCGCCCCCCCTTGTGGGATGACGCAGCGGCGGATCGTAATGTCTGGAGAAAAATTACCCAAAACTGGCTCACTAAGCGTAAACTGCAGTCGTTGCCCGACTATGATGATCTCCGTCGAGTCGCATTGCATGGTAGGTGCCTTCTTCAGGTTGGTAAAGTCTTTCGCTTACTTCCCATGAGGCTTGAGCCAATAGAAGAACCGTATTCCTCCCCCTACATCTGCCTTCCAACGCCCGATGATGTTTCCAGTTTTAAAAAACCTGCAAAAGCTCAACTGAAGACCATTATTGACCAGCTCGGGGACTTGCGCACAGCAGTCCAACAAGGGACACAGAAGGTGACTTTGAACGGCGCGCAGCTAAAACAGATCAATGATTTGTTGACACAAGATGACACAAGAGTCTTCGGAGACTCGTAAAGCTGTGAGGACCTCCTGGAAGATGTGTCGAAGCAGCAGAAAGTTTTGGAAACGCTTCAAGATGGAAGCCCGGCTCAAGTTCGAGAAGTCCTTCGGGATCAGCAAAGTGCTTCACGCAATGCCGTCGACCGCATCGACGAGCTCTCCGACAAGCTCATTGCGCTCGACCGCCTCGTGAATGCCTGAGTGGCAGCCTGCAAAAGATCTCCAACATCAACTTCACAAGAAACACCACAGGTTCGTGGTGTCGAAAACCGGCAGCATCAAGAACCACATCACCACGGTGGTTCCGATGATCCGAGCCAACATCGCAGACAAGCTGGTTCCAGCAGCGGCCGCTTTGGCACAAGAAGCCGGTGGAATCCGTCGTCGCATTGTTGTCCGGAATGTTGGCGTCTGATTATGCAGGCTCAACCCCGTTGTCGAGGTGACCGTGAGTGGGCGTTGCAAGCTGCGCTCGATCACGTTTCCAAGACTGCAAGAAGAGGGCGTGGTCATGGCGCAAGACCGCCCACCCCGACTCACGGTCGACTTTTCCGTCCCCGGCCCCCGGAGTTATGTCGAATACCTGTCTCCTTACCCGCTCATCGAATCCGTCTGTCAGATGTGTTTGTGTGCCTGCCCTTTGTCCGAGCCAGTGCATCAACCTCAAATTTGGCGCGCGAGTGTGTTTTTTGTATTGGGCCCAGGCCGCCGGACTTCTGCCGCGCCTTCTTCCCTGCGTTCGGCACCCGGCCCTCCCCGTTTCGAATGTGAGGGCCTGTCACGAATCTGGGCAAAGCTTTATCGCTTTATGGGAGCTTCTGTCTCAATGCGGCTTGTAGTCCTTCTGAACACTCGCCTTGGCCCCGGGCGGTCCCTCCCGCGGCCGTAGCACGAGCGGACTGGGACGAATATCGTCCGGAGCTTTATTTCGACATCGGACAAGAAGGAATCGGTCGCGCCTGCTTCTGCTGTGCGACTGCATCAGTTTGGCTGTAGGACACGGACCTGTGCCTGTCGAACCGCTCCGAGCTTTGACTGGGCGTGCTTGAACTGGCACGCTGCGGCCTGCTGAAGCCATGGTCAAGCGGGACCGTTTCCGTTTCCGCAGGTTTTTGGACTGACCGCCACCTCCCCTCTGCTTTTATCCCCGTCCTGCCGCTGGTTTTTTTTTGGCAGGTTAGGAGCGGAGAGCGGAGTGCGACGAATACCGTCCGGAGCTGGCTTAAACATCGGAGACAAAATAATCGCTCGCACTTGCTCCTCCTGTGCTGCATTTTGGCTCTAGGAAACGGACCTGTGCCTTTCGAACCACGAGTCACACAGCCAGAAACCATACAGCCACCACGACGACGAGTACGACCTTACAAAACAGACAAACAGCATACGAAATCCCGAACACACGCACCAAACATCACCCAAAAACCAAAGAGGCACACTCCTCCAACGAGGCAGTAGGAAAACCCGAAAGTACATGGCATCACCATGCATTAGCAGCTCATTAGCAAGCATTTAGCAACACATTACAACGGGTGTCCTGGCAGGATCCTTACGGCTTGCTTTTCTTTCCGTACCAAGCTGTGTTGATGCTGAGCAAACGAGGTCACTGAGCTTGTCGTGTGTTATTGAGGTAATTACTTGAGGCAATTATGCATTCGTGTTGACAGGGCAAGACTTCGATGGTGGCGAGTTCTTCATAAAGAGAATGAACAGTGGGCAGGCCGGAACGTTGTGGTCGAAAGTCTTGTGGTTGGTCGTGGGACGGATAAGGTCGTCGAGGTGGCATCCACGGAGGGCGATTTGATTTTGTTTGCAGCCAACAAAGCTGCCGTGCACGGCGCGGACTTCAAGCACGGAGCGTGCCACCTACCAGTAGATTCAGATCTGCTTTTGCCGATGCTTTGGAGTCGAGCCAGCTCCTGAGGTCAGAGAAGTGCATGGCACTCGCTTCTCCGCAGCTTCGGTTGCAAGACAAGGAGCAGCACCCCACAAAACCGCTAGTGTTGCTGGGCGATTCCTTGTTTACCACCCTTACTCATGATTGAACGAGTGAAGCCGCAAAGGTCGGGATTGTCTTCAACCTTCGCAAATGAGACGGAGATGACGAGGTCAAGATCAAGTTCGGCATGCCGCCCATCAGTGAAGGATGTGCGATGAGGATCTCAGCCGGCAGGGTACTTCTGCAACACGGCCGCCGGCCAGCTCATGGGGCCAAGCACGACGAGGCAGAGCAGCTCGACGCTTGCGCTACTTGCGCTACTTGCGCTTCCGCAGTGCATGAATGCGCTTCTGCCTCAGAGGCAAAAGTTTCTAATGAAATCGAGGACCTTCAGCCATGACGCTCAAGCATCTCCCTCTTGAAAGCAACAGTGCAAAGCATCTCGGAACTGCAGGCTTTGTTTGTTGCCTGCAGCTGTCGGCAAGCCATGGCAAGCCAACCGATGCCAGGGTTCAAGGGTTTAAAACGAGGCGCAGTCTGCAAAGCCCACGGGATCAGACTTCCGAGCTTCGCCAAACTGATTGATCCAGAATGTTCTGAGCACAGCCGCTGCATGCCTTTGCCGTGCAGCAAAGCCAAAAGAGCTGAAAACATAGATGGTCAGTCTCGCATGGTGTTTTCGTGCCAATGTGCTTGTTTCGACTAAGCCTGCAGCACAATGCGTTGAAGAGCACCAAGGCACGATGAGCGTGTTGCGGCGTGTTTATGTGTTTTTGCTGGCTAAGGCTAGAAATCACTCGGAGAATCTGCTGTTGGCTGCCTCGGCATTGTCCTGGGCAGTGTGCCAGGTGCGAGTGCATGCTGAATTGTGTCACTGGCTGCAGGGGGGTTCCTCTCCAGGTGTTGTATTGGGACATGCCTGTGCGGAGGGCCGTTGCTGTGAACCCATCTGTTTCGAGCAGTCTCCCAAGCAGTTCAATGCCTCCAACATCACTTGGTTGCGTAAGGCTGAGCTCATGGTTTGCCAGAACGAGCGATGGGAACAGATGCCGTGGTGCAGGTTGCACTATGATCTTGCCTGGGGCTCTTGGCCGACTTAGCCGCCCAGTGTGCAGGCAGCCATATCGTCGTCGAGTAGTTCGTGAGTCGTGGACGTTGCTCAAGCAGGCATCGCACATTGACGCACAATGGCTTGTGAACTTGGTCGAAACATCACAGAGCCTTGTTCGTGCATTAGCCACTGCAGGTGCTGTACCCTGCTGGAACTGCGTTTGACATTGACCTTCTGCTCAATGAGGCTCCCGTTGAAAACGTCTGAGAAAGGCTAAGGAGGAGCGCGATTCTTCTCGCACATTTGGCAGGAGGTATACTCCAGGCTGCTCGGTGAGTTTGAGCTGGTGAATGCCAACATTGAGTTTGGACATCCGTTCCAGGTGAAAGTCTGAAACACTCCCGATCTTTCTTCAACATGTTTGGCCTTTCCTCGCGACCGCTTGTGCAGGCCGCCTTGGCACAAGAAGCGCTTTTGCCTTTGTCAGATGCATTGCGGCGTGCTGGAGTCTGGCAGGCGGTGGCAAAGGCAGGGGGTCGGATGGTCCGCACATCACCGCATGCCTGTCACGTAGCCTGCCCTGTTTGTTGTGTCCGCGTGTTTTGAAGCAAGTTGTCTTTTTTGGTAGGCGGACGTTTCAGTTCAGTCTTCACATTTCAAACACGCGGAACACAAGTATAGAACCCCACCAAGAGTGAGTGAGGCAAGGCTATAGGGGCTGAGCCAAGAGTTTCTAAGCGTTACACTGAGGGCTAGTGCGCCGGGAGAGCACAACGAAGCCGGTTGTCTTCTTGTCTGCAGCCTCCTTTGCGCACAGGGACATTCAAGATGTCAGCATGCTCCCTTCGTACCTGACTGCGCGATGCAGCTGCACAGCCGTGGTCGAATCTTCCAGGGAGAAAAAAACGCTAAGGGTCTCCAGTGATCACTTCCATACGAATCCATGCGCCTTCTTGGTTGGAGGTGCAATTCGTGTGACCGCCGTTGCTGCTGTGGGCCGTAAGCTCTCTCGTCATGGAGGTGCCCGAACGCGCCTTCTTGCTGCTTCTCAGTTCATTAAGGGTGCCAACGACGTGACTGAGGAGCCCCTCTTTTGCACGGTTCTGTCGACACAGGAAGATTGGCGAGCTGCAGTCGCAGAAGTCACGGCTGAAGCATCTTATCAACTGCGAAGTCGACCAAGAAAATGCTGGGACTTTGGTGTAGTCTATGTTAGTGGTCACCATGATGTGTCAGTCACCGACATTACCATGGCTTTGGACCGCAACCTGGGCACCAGTGGGGCATGCATTGGAGCTGCGGTGAATGGATGCGGAGGTCCTGGCACGGATCACCACCGACGTACTCATACAGGCAGAAAAACACCAGTCATGCAACTGATAGCCGTGCAGCAGCCTCATAGAGCAAATCCATCTGCTTCCAACGGTTCACCGGCCGAGTTAGCGGGTGCAAAGCCTTTCTTCGTGGGTCAAAGGGAGCTGCAGGAGATATCGGGGCTGGTCTGCCAAATCCAAGGCCGCACGCGAGTCATAGGTGCACAGGAGCCACCCCTGCCGCGTGCGTGGCGAGAGTACTTGGGAATAGATGAGAAGGAGGAGGCCCGTCCACGAGGCATCCTGCTTTTCATTGATCCGTTGGCATCCAAATACGTGGTCGGTACAGTGCTCAGTGCTCTGGACCTGGCATTGCCCAATGCCGTTAAATGTGGTGCGGTTTGTGCGGACCTGCTGCCATCGCGGCGACGTGTGGCTGTAGCTGGCTACGAGATGCGGCGTGGGATCAGTAGTGCTGATGATGTGCCAGCTGGCGTTGCAGGCCTGCTGTTGCCTCCTGATATGTCTATTCACAGCATGGTGTGTTCAGGCAGCAGCAGGGTAGGCCCAGAGCTGCGGGTGACATCAGCAGACGGCCAGGTAATCAAGATGATGCAGTCTGAAGATGACATCGAAGCCCATCCCGCAACGGAGATGTTGGAGGCAGTCTGCAAACAGGCGAGTCCAGTCCAGCAGCTTCTCATCGAGAAGGGAGGGTACCTACTGGGTTTGGAAGCACCGCGAGATCCCTTGGATCCAGATAAGTCGAAAGTCTACGATGACGTTTGGGGATCCTCGGAGCGAGCTCCCTCCTATTCCTCCTTGCGTCGCCAGGCAGCCGCTTGTGACTGGTTGGTTCGATCTTTGGAGCCTTTGCCTGGTGGCTCGGTTGTGATTCGGCGGGAAAATTTAAAGCGGATCCCACCAAGAGTCGGCCCGGCCTGGGTTCGATGTCAGGTGCATGTCTTTGACGAAAGACAGGGCAGACAGGAGCTGCAGCTGATGCTGCAACGATACATGGGTGCACGCATGACCTTGCCGACGCCTGCAGGAAAGCCTTTCGGTGCCATGATCTTCACTTGCAGGTCATGGTTTGCACAGGCCGAGGACGAGGTCGGCGTGGCAGAGGTGTCGGCGGCATTTGACCCGCCACCCACGGTGGTCAGTGTGAATGTGTGTGGTGAAGTTGCGCATCCTGGAATTGCACTCGGTGGTGTTGACAAGAAGCGGACGACCATCCAGGCACGCTTGCACAAACGCTTCTGAGACATATCTCGGCTTGTTCGACACAAGTAGACTGGGATACCTGGGTTGTTTGCATGGCCAAACTCTGCCTAGCAGTCTCTTCAGGCACGGCAGTTAAGTCGTAAGGCATCTCCCGGAACCCAGGTGTTAGGAAATGTTAGGAATGCATGACTCAGAACGTTTTGCTCCACAAAACTCGTCTGACATCGTGAAGAGGTTCTCTGCTCTCGCAACGAGCAGTCAGAAAACAGATTTCGAACCGATCTGCGAAGTACAAAGCTATCGTGTATCGTAAACAACAGAAATCACCTCACGTGGCCGGTCCGCGACCCCTCCGGGCCGGTCCGTGACGGCAGACGGCGGTCGGCGTCGTTTCCGTTGTCGGTCGGCGTCGGTTTCGTTGTTAGTCGGCGTCGTTCTTGTTCTTCGTCGGCGTCGTTTCTGTTGTCGGTCGGCATCGTTTTGGTTTTCGGTCGGCATCGGTTTCCGTTGGCGGTCGGCATCGTTTTCGTTGTCCACCGGCATCGTTTTCGTTGTCGGTCAGCATCGTTTTCGTTGTCGGTCGGCATCGGTTTCGTTGTCGGTCGGCGCCATTTCGTTGTCGGTCGCCGTCGTTTTTGTTGTCGATAGTCGTTGTCGCTTCGTCCTGGTTTTCGTCCTCGTCCTCTCTGCCGTCGTGCCCGTCGTCACCGTCGGCACGAACACTGGGCTGGGTTCGTCCGTAATGTGCTTGTCTTGGGGGTATAGGTACATACGGACAAAGGTTAACTAGAGCCACTGGGGTGGAGAGTGCAAGAAGTTCCGTGTAGAGACGAGCATCGAATCTAAACTTAAGTTCACATAAGCAGACAGAATGTGCGGCTTTGGAGTGTCGGTGTATGCTTTTGGTGTCCATGTGTTAGTTGTGTGGCAGTCATCTTCGTTTTGCTTTACTTCGGTACGTTATGTTGTCAGTATCACACGACTGAAAACAATATAGCTGCAAACAGTACAGTTTGCTGCGCATGTCGAGAGATATGATGATGCACATCCGGTGAAATTCTGCGAACCGACGAAACCACTCACCAACACAGCAAGTTTACAATTGCGTTTGGAGATTTTCTCTACTATGCTTTGCTATGGGTTCATTTTGCAGCTATCTCGGAAACCTGCCAACCGTCCCGAAGCTTTTTTGTCAAGTGTCACGGAGCCGTGTCTGAACCGCCCGACAAGCGTCACGGAGCGATCTCGGAGACACCCGTGCGGTGTCACGGAGCCGTTTCGGAGCCACCCGGGTGAGATGTCGCGGAGTCTTCCCGGAGCCAAACCATAGCAAAGCATGGTACATGTAGACGTAGAGTGGTGGAGAAAATCCCCAACAGAAATGTATAGGGTCCAGAGATGGCTTGGCGAGGGGCCTGTATTCTTTTACATGGTCAGAAGCCAGACAAATGTCGTCGATTTGTTTCTGTCGTATGCGACCACGGCCAAACTGCTTGACCTCTGTAGGGCCTTTTGACCGATTTGACTGTCATGTTGCCCTCCTGCATTCCGCAGTGTCCAGGGGCACACCGCCACCTGCTGCTTCTTGAGCTACGAACCCAGTGCTTGATTCGAAAACTTTCTGGATGCACGCACCAAACTCTGGATGCACGCGCCAAACGTGCACAGCTGAGTACGGGATGCAGAGTCAGCACTACGGTCTGACAGAGTTGCTTGCACAGACAATAATTCATTTGCTGTAGAGTTTCTTGCATGATAAAAGATCCTCAGTTGATCTTACGATGCTTCTTTTAAGTTAGGGTCTGTTGCCGTGAGCGAGCCGTAAACTACCAGGAATGGCTCCATGACTATGACACGAAGTTTTGATGACCAGAAAGGTTCATAGCTCACGGGCGAGCGGGGACACAGACAGTGATTTCTACGAATTCTCCAAATGCTGTATGGCATGGCCAAAGAGCTTGAGGCTGGCTAAGTTTTCCTAAGGAAGATGCCTGTCCACATGAAATAGCTGCGAAGATTCGAACTACCGAACGGCCAGCTACTGGCCGAAAGGACTTCTTGGCGGGGTGGTGAGAAAAAGGGGCCGAGGAAGGCGGAAAGCACGCTATGATGCTAAGACGGTGGCTACACTCTGGCCCATGCAGGTCATGAGCTGTCAACACGAGGCCTGGTCTGTCAAGACGGCGTGGGCGTGAACCTGCACAAGCTTGAGCTTTCTCTCTGCTTCCCACTAGCCTCGCCTGCCTCACCTGCCTTTTGCTCAAGAGAACGACGCTGTGTGATCTTGTTCCCGGCCTGAGCAAAGGAAGCCTTGGACTCAGCAGCTGCTCAAACTCAAAACGAGCAAGTCAGCATTTTACATCCAGGCCATGGCTTCGAGGGGCATCGTGCAGGACCTCTCGGTTGAGACGAAGAGTGTAGGAAGCATGTGTACGGGCGTGGTGGACACGTCTGAAGTAGGACGTATCCCGAAGAGCCCCTTTTGGTTCCTGAGACGGCTTCTGGGGGGTTTGTCTCAAGCCATGCAGTTTGGTGCCGACGGCTTCGGCATTGACCAGAATGCCCTGAAGCGCCACGAGGCCCAAGACACAGGCGAAGGAAAAGCATGGCAAAGCCGCGAGCCCTTGATGCGTAGTGCTGAGCCAGGCCGAGCAAAAAGTGAAATGCGCCCGGTACCTTCGGCAGCTTGGCCTTGGTGGTGCTCGGGAACGAGTGGCAGTTGTGTGTAGTTGTGGCATGCTGCGCCTGTCAACAGCTTCAGATGATTGGCAGGTTTGCCTTTTGTGCACATGCAGTCGTCTTGATTCTGATCAACATCATTGTGTGGGCCATCTGGTTCATTCTCAGGCGCTGCATCTGGCCGGAAATGGAAGCAGTGCAGCAGTGCCTATGGCTGCCCTTTGCACAGGTCGAATCAGAAGGGTGGCACGTACCAGTGGCCGCTCTGGCCATGTTCTCAGGGCTCAGGTGCCTTGGTGCTCCGTAGATCTCCGTAGTGTCCGGCGCGACGGCTGAGGGTGACTCTTGGCTCAGTGGTTCTCCTTGTCGCGCTGCTTGGATGCGTCAAGTTATGTTTGCCCAGCATGCCCAGACAAATTCCAGAACCAGAAGAGTTGCACGGGGACTGTTGTTTTGGGTATGTGTCGACTGCTGGCGGTGCTGAATTCCTCGGCCTTCCGAAGTAGGCAGGCATGTCGTGCTGTTTGCCATTGTACAAACGAGGCACCTTTTGAGCATGCTTCCCTATGCAGTCTGCAAGCCGAGCCACAACTGCCGCCTGTTTGCAGAAAGACTAGAACATCTAGAACTGGGCGATACTGGGCGGCAACTTTCCTGTACTTCCTCGCAGGTCCTCGCTGGGTCTGGGTGATCCTGTTGCCGCTTGATTGAAGCGAACCCGCTCTTCGTAGGTGCCGAGGCCCAGGAACTGCAGCTAGCACGGTTTGCTCCCAGGAACATTGCTCTGGTCAACATCGTCTGCTGGGGTGTCTATGCGACGGCGGAGCAGCAAGCCTGCCCCATCAACAATCCCCACTGTGACTTGGCTGCGACAAACCGGAGTTGCTGCTGAGGTCACGGAGTAGCTCGGCCTCTTCTCGCATTGCGTGATACTGACCATGTGGGCACCAGGTGAATACCTGTGGCCAGCATGGGTTTCTGGTGCGACAGTGTTGGGTGGCATTGTTGCTTCTCGCCTGCTCCACGATGCCAAAGAATTTCGGAAGCTGAGCAAGTTCAGCATCAAGCATTGCAGCTGTACGCAATACTGTTTCAAGGTAAGTGTGCTGCCGTGCCTCATTGGAGCCATATTCGGCATCCACGATGATGTCGGGGACCGGTGCAGATGCCTGCCAACAGCCAATCAGACGCGCGATCGTCCTAGTTTTGCCCCTGTCGTCAGGACAGTGAAGCCGAGGGTATGATGAATTCGCTTGCAACTTGGGAGGTTCCGAACTCTTCTGGAGTGGTGAGCATGTCATGACCTCCCAGGTCAGAATCCGATTGAAGCAGCTTTCCTCTGGCAAGATCGCGGCTTCTCCCGAAGATGTTGGTAGCCGTGTCTGAGGTCAAGCCCTGTCAAACTGATATGATTAGCTTTTCGTTAGCCGTAGTTTGTCAGCTGCCACATGCAGTGTGCAGAGGTGCCAGTCTGCATGCAGCTAATAGTCTCAGACCCATTGGGGTCGTCTGAGCATAAAGCCAGATGCTGTGAAAGAGAACTGCTGAAGAGCAAGACTGCCCTCAGTCGTCGCATCAGCATTTGCTCCGACAGTTTGCTCGAAGTGGGGAAGAATTCAAGAGCCAGGACCCATTGTGCTCCGTCGGTGACGATGCCCCCACACAGGAGGCCAACTAGCTTGACCTTCGGCAGTTAATCATCGTTGCAGCGCATCGGCTTTCTGAAGGATCTTCCTGTGGTGCTGGGCATTGGTCTGGCCCGGCGAATTGCCCTCATGAACCATTCCTGCAGGTGCTCCTGGACCAGACACATGGGACGAGTGCCTCCGTTGGCCCATATGTACTGATGAGAAGAATCCTTCCTTGCAGGCCGAACTGTGAAATCGATTACAGCAGGGGGCCCAAGGCAATGCGATTGCAGAACTTCATGACTCATGACACAAACTTGCTAGCCGCTAGCCCTGCATTTCTCGGGTGTTGCGGCTTGTTGCCAACAGCCCAAAGCTTTTTCTGAGGCAACAACGGTACAGCCATTGTGGTGGCACTTCGTGAGCTTCGCACGGGCGAGGATGGTTCCTTCGATCAGTGGCCGCCTGTGAAGCTGCGTGTTGCTGGCTTTGTTTCATGCAAGCCATGCTACTGGAGAAGGAGCTGACCATTAGCTACGTGGACGAACAGAGCTTGCCAGTGCGCAGACGTCGTCGCGCTCTTCGGATGTTTGGCACTTACTGATGCTCTCTTCACATTTGGAACACTTTTGGAAACCCCTTCTCCCCTTCCCAAGGATGCAGCTCTCTCTGCAATTAGGTGCGTTTGACCGTATTGCTGTCGGCACTATTACAATCAAACTAGGTCCTGGGGTCTCTATGTCGTGTAGGTTCTAGGTCATGGTTGTTGCGTGGAAGGATGACTGCCACGTGAGTAGGTCTCTGCCCTCCTCTCGTCATCTAGTCCTCCAGTATCGCCTGAAGAGTTTCTACTTGCGGCAACTTGCGAAGTCATAAAGCCTGGACGTAGCTGCGTCGCAGCGGAACAACAGCAAAGCCATCGGCGGGTGGGAATGCACCACGAGCCCCCAACTCCAAAAAGTCTTGGCACTGCACCATGTGTTCTTTCTGCGTATGTATGTATGTACGTATGTATGCATGCATGTATGTATGTAGTATATATATATGTATATGTATGTATGTATATGTATGTATTGTTTGTATACACATAAAACTATATGAATATTGATGCAGATAGAGAAGTATATATATATATATATGTATATATATATATATATGTATAGTCGCATATCATATATATATACATAATTTTAACGCTACGCCGCCCGCCTCGGCTCTGTAGTGGCAGGGCGAGGGTCCCGGCTTATTGTATAGCCTCTGGTCAGAGTCGAGCAAGAATAGAAGGCACCTGTGAAATGCTTGAGTCAGAGCTTGGTGCGAAAGTTGCGGGGTTGTAGGCGCGGAGCTTTAAGGAAAGTAAGAGATTCCAGAATTCTTCCGAGCTCGAAGCGAACCCTTCATCCGCGCTCTGGACGTGGTCGTGGACCCGGTCGAGTTGGGGGAGGGGGCGGGAAAGGGGGGAGGGGGGGGGGAGGGGGGGGGGGGGGGGGGGGGGGGGGGGGGGGGGGGGGGGGGGAGGGGGGGGGGAGGGGGGGGGGGGGGGGGGGAGGGGGGGGGGAGGGGGAGGGGGTGGAAGGGAAACGGCGGGGTGGAGGAAAAAAAGAGGGGGGAGGAGGCCTGGGAGGGGGCAGGTAGGCCCGCAAATCAAAGAAAATGAGGGGAGGCCGGGCAAGGGGGTGGCAAACGAGCGCAAAAACAGGGTGTCCCCAAACATTCGGACTGCAGGGAGGAGGATTAGGTGGAGGGTACCTGAGGTAACCACCAAAACGCCTGGGCCTGTGGCCTCGGCGGATATAAACATCGTTTTTATTGATTGATTGCTTGCTTGATTGATTGGTTGAATGATTGGTTGATCGACTGACTGACTGACTGACTGACTGAGTGATTGATTGGTATACTTTACTATACTATATCATGCTATGCTATACTATGATGCAGTATAATGTGAGACAAAATGCCATAGTAAATGATAATGTAATACAACATAACATATAATATACTACTCTGTATATAACGTACTATGTGTGTATATATATATATATATATACACACGTTTGACATACATGTAAGCAAGAACATTTACAACCAACGAGCCGGCTTTAAAGCTGGACTTTCGCCAGCATGGGCGGCAGGCAGCCCGTACATATTTCAGGTATCTGATTCCTCCTGCAAGGTACCCGGGATCAGGATATCTTAGGGGCATGCGTGACAGGCAGTTTTTACACCACCACGATTGAATCTTTTGACATCCGCTCGGCCGCCTCGGCTTTTGTTTTGCGACTTGCATTACAGGGGGATCAACAGTAGTCAACATTAGATGGGCTTGAGCATAGGCCACAGCACGGCAGAGCACCAAAACCGTGGCTTGAGACAAGGCGATATGGATTTCACTGCTATTGCTCTCGTTGTTCGACGGAGAGACTGCAGCGAAGGAGGCCAATGGCCCAGCACATGCGCAGCTTTGTGCATGTTAGGGTTTGCTTGTAGGCTGAACTGCTTGTACTGGTGGCAGAGCATAGGCGTGCCCGTGCCAGCAACCGTCACTCTTTTAGGGATTTTGCAAGCTTCTGGCCTTCATTTCTATGGGTCTGATGCTTCGAGCCCTCGTGAGATGGAGTTTGCTTGTGCAATGATTTCAAGCCTGCTGATTGGAGGATCCATCGGCAAGCGCTTCGTCGCAAATTTTCCGTCACATACTCAGTCTAGCCTATGGCGATCCTGACAACCATGAATCCACGAGGTTCACTGCAGACCAAGTGCTACTAAAGACAGTTGTGCAAAGTCGTGCTCATATTTGTCGACGGCTCCTACTCTCAAGGGACCTCAATGAGGATGCTGCAGCTGCGGAGGGAGGTGCCGGCTATTCAACGAAGATGCCGCTTGCGCTGCACGCGGCATTGCAGTGTTGTCCGGCTCAGCAGCAGCTAGATCATGTTCTGATGTTGCCTATTTTGCATGCTGCTTGGTCGAGATGTTGTCGTTACATTGGTGCGGTCAGACATCTTCAGCATATTCGGACTACTTGGCAGCGACAGTTTGCGCTCGTTCACGTCAGTGTTACATTGAGGCCCGCACTGGGCCGCAGCTATGGCTGAAGCCGACAGGTTGAGGCAGCAAGGAAACGCTGAGGTGAAAATTGGGCGCTTGAGGCTCGGCTGGATTTCTCGTACGTAACAGTTCGGTCATGGAACACATCATACACTTCTTGGCTCCGCCAGGGAGGCAATTGAGCTGTACTCCCAGGCTCTGGAGAGCATGGACACCCAAACAGGTCGATGGCAATACCGAACATGAGCATCCACAGCAGAGATGTGAGCCAGGTTGCCGAGAACATGCGATCATCCTGGGCAACCGGTGCCAGTGCTACATGCGTCTCGGGAGGTGCGGTCGTGCATTTGTCGTGCCCCACGTTCACACCGGCCTTGCCTCTGAGCAGGTACCGTGATGCCCGGGTCGATGCCGAACGCGCCGTGGAAGTGGACCCCAGCTACGCCAAGGGGCTGTACCGCTTGGCTTTGTGCCAGAAAGAGCTATGTGATCTGGCGGGCGCTTGGGAAAGTGCCACACGTGCTCCTTGGAATGTGCTATGTTCTGAGTTCTGTTCACAAGCTGTGCAACCAAAGCTGTTGCGTAGCCACAACAATTTCGATGACCTTGCCCTCTGCATCCCTGTGTAAACCACTGTTGTTGCTGTTGGTGCCACTTCTGACGCTGCCGTTGCTACTGCCGTGCGGTTGGAAGCACTCTGAGATGTGTGATTTGTGCTTTGCCAAATCACTTGAGCTAATCAGCTTTTGACCTTTGGCTTCCTTCGCGGCCTGACGTCCGTTACTAGTCCTGTTGTTGCATGCTCAGACGCTACGTAACGCTTCCATCGTCTTCGTCGTTTCAGCATCATCACCAGGTCCTCATCGTCGTCCTCCTCCTTTTCCTGATCCTGCTTACGGTTCATCCTCAGCATGACAATGCTGGCGACCATGACAAGTTTCACCCTTGTCCCCATCATCACGAACAGTCATCAGCCTCTTTTCCAAAGTTTGCACTCGTCATCATCGGGATGATCGTGCAACAACAGAAACGGACCCCTATTCTTGAATGGCGACGGCAGCGACAACAACCACTGCAGCCACAAGAAGAACAACAGCAGCAACAGTAGCAACAGCAGCAACAAGAACCGGAAGAATCAGAACAATAACAGGAAAAACAATAGCACGAACAAGACCAATAATGATACATAACAGGAGCAAGAATAAAAAGAATCACCAAGAGGAACAACAAGAATAATAACAATAAACGGCCATAGAACAAGACCATAACAAGAACCAGTGCTCAGTACAAGTCAAGTGCAAGCACAGGTACAAGTAGAGGTGCAAGAACAAGTATAACAACAAGTGCAAGAACAAGTAGAGGTACAGAGGACCTGCAAAAAAAGAACAAGAGGAAAAGCAAGAGGAATAACAATAGGAATAAAACGGAGTGGTGCCCACACAGAGCTGCTTTGGGGGCAGACATCACGCCCCTTCGGGGACATGCGACAACAGTGGAAAGTGGATGTTGCCGAGCCACGGCCCAGCCGGAGCAAACCGGCACAACTACATCTGCCCTGAGAGACTGAGGCTCTGTACATCTTAGTTGATGCTAGGCCTGTACATCTCGTCTCAAAAATTTAACTTAAGTTCAACATGATGTTATGGTGCCCTGTGTGTCTTACGGACACGACAGGCCTAACTGCTTATTTGCATAGCCAGCTCCTACTGCATGAATTTGTAACTAAGAATTCGGTCGATGACGGCGGCCTCAATGTCTTTTGTTTGTTTCAGTCTTGTGTTTAGGGCGTTGTTGTTGTGTTTGTAGGATCTCTTCGTGTCCTTTGTATGGTGCCTGCCCGGACCTATGAATACAGTTGCAATGGAGGCAAGTGTAGAACGTAGTCTAGTCCTCTGTACAAACGTTGCAGCCTCTCCCTGGAAACTGTGAGCTGTACCGGTTATTTACTGGGTTTGTTGGGGATAGTTACTGCTTGCTTTCCCGGGAGGCGCTAGGTCTCGAGGATTCGGCGATGATATGCACTCCTACCTTGTATGGTTGTCACCTGCTTCTGGGCCTTTCGACACGGAGTGCATGTTGTCCCCAGAGTCTTCTCTCTCGCATAGTCCTGACGAGTTCTGACGAGTTCCCTGCGGTGCGACATGTTCAGCTGGGCGGGTGGCAAAAAAGAATAGGAATAATAACAACTAAACGGAATAGTAACAAGACGAATACCACGAACAACAACAATAGTAATAAGAAGAAAAATAATACGAGTAGTAAAAATAAGAAGAACAATAATAGTAGTAGCGGATGACAGCAAACACTAACACGAAAAATAACAATCACAAGAACTAGAACCAGAACACTAGCAATAACACGATTAATAAGAACAAGAAGAAGAATCGGAAGAACAGCAGTAAGAGCCAGAACCAGAACGCGAGCAAGAACATGAACCAGAACCAGAACACGAGCAGGAACATGAACAAGAACAAGAAAACGAGCAATAACAGTATCAAGACGAGATGAAGACCAACAACAAGTACACGTACCAGAAGATCTTCCAAGGAGCTGAGACGGAGAACAAGAAGAACAACAAGAACAATGCCAACACAGGAACAATAACATTAACCTTTCAACAAACACAAGAACAGCATCACGAGACCAAGGACAAGATCAAACGAAAACAAGAACAAAAGACCATGGACAAGAACAGGAGAGCAAGACAGCAAGAAAGCAAGAGAGCAGGAGAGCAAGACAGCAAGAGAGCAAGACAGCAGACAGCTACAACAACAACAACAACAGCAACAGCAGCACCATCAACTGCAACAGCAACAGCAGCATCAACAGCGTCAGCGGCATGATCAACAGCAACAGCAACCGCCACAGCAGCAACAACAACAACCCAATACCAAGACGAACACTACACCTGCAAAAGCAACTGCAAGTGCGCAATTTGCACAACGAATAACTATTTGTAGCACTGCAAAACTACTGCTACTGCCGCTGTATTGCCACTGCTGCTACTGCTACTACTGCTACTGCTACTACTACCACTACTTCTACTACTGCTGCTGCTGCTACTACTACTACTACTCCCACCTGACAAAACCATTACTACTACTACTACTACTACTACTACTACTACTACTACTACTACTGCTACTGCTACTGCTACTGCTACTCCTACTCCTACTCCTACTCCTACTCCTACTCCTACTCCTACTCCTCCTCCTCCTACTACTACTACTACTACTGCTACTAGTACTAGTACTAGTACTAGTACTACGACTACTGCTGCACATGACAAAAAACTACTGCTACTAAAAAACTACTACTACTACTACTACTGCGACAAAAACTACTGCTGCTGATGCTGCTGCTGATGTTACTGTTGCTGCTAGTGCTAGTGCTACGACTACGACCACGACCACGACTACGACGATACGACTACGACTACGACAACTTCTCGCACCAGTTCTCGTATTCGTACTCGTAGTACTGGGCCTAAGACTGCTGCTGCCACTGGTGCGGTTGCTGCTACTACGCCGACGAGGACGAAGACGACGACGACTACCATTACCACCACCGTGACGAAGATTGTATTGACTCTGCTCCGTGTGGGCAATAACGATCCCGGCAAGATGTCGGAGGTAAACTCGAAGCGCAAAGGCCTTCACTTCTCAAACCAGGAGCATGGGCAGATTCAGATTGATGCTGTTTGTCACTACTGCCTCAACCTGCACAAACACCTTCACTAGCATGTAGAATAAGTCACGGAGTCTTGGAGCCACTCTGAGCTTAATGATTTCTGGCTTGGTTCCCACCGTTCTTAGTATGCTTCGTCTGGTAAGCCCAAGTAGCGGTAGCTTCAATTCGCATCCTTCGAGGCCGCAGCCTTGGAGCCGCAGAGCTCCGAGATTTCCGCGCTCCAAGCGACGATCGCGCAGTCGGAAAGCTCCCCTTGCTCAATTACTCGTCGTGGAAGTAGTCGGAGCAGTAGGAGTAGTAGTTGTCGTAGTAGTAGTAGTCGTAGGAGGAGTTGTAGGATTAGGAGTAGGAGGAATAGGAGTAGGAGTAGGAGTAGGAGTAGGAGTAGGAGTAGGAGTAGGAGTAGGGGTAGGAGTAGGAGTAGGAGTAGGAGTAGGAGTAGGAGTAGGAGAGGAGGAGTGGTAAAGTAGTAGGATTAGTAGGAGTCGTAATAGTAGGCCCATGTAGGCCCAAATAAAATCCAGGGGGCTAGGCCGCAGAGTTTTTTTGGCACGATTTTCATTCTGAGCTCTTGTAGAGTCGGCCTCCTGGTTTCTATTTCGGGATCGTGGGGTGCATGTTAGCCGGCGATTTGGAGGGCTTGGGAGGCCAAAATGAGTGAGGAGTGCGACGACTTGATGACACGAAATACCCAACAATCCCCTAGGTTCCTCGTGCATTGTAAATCTATTTTCCAAACGGGTTAGCCATCGGAATTACTTGGTATTAAAACCAGGGGCCTAACCCTAAGGTGCAGACCAGACCCCTAAGTAGTAGTAGTCGTCGTCGTAGTAGTATAGTAGTCGTAGTGGTAGTGGTAGTGGTAGTGGTAGTGGCAGTGGCAGTGGCAGTGGCAGTGGCAGTGGCAGTGGCAGTGGCAGTGGCAGTGGGAGTGGAAGTGGGAGTGGGAGTGGGAGTGGGAGTGGTGGTGGTGGTCGTAGTAGGAGTCGGAGTAGGAGCAAGAGCAGGAGCAGGAGTAGGAGTAGTAGTAGTAGTAGTAGGAGTAGTAGGAGGCAGTAGGAGTAGTAGGAGTAGTACGAGTAGTAGGAGTGGTAGGAGTACTCCTTAGGATTAGTAGGAGTAGTAGGAGTACGCGCAGGAGTAGAGGTTTGCCCACCTCATGTGTGCAACTGGGGAGCTGGCTTCAGGGTTTAGGGTTTCGGGTTCAGGGTTTGCGCTTAAACCCTCGTTTCAGCGGGACTTGCGTTATGGTTACATATACATATGTCAGTCTGTATATATACAGATAGACAAACACGGAGACCCGATACCAATAAATTTAGATGCACAGCTATATATAGAAATATACAGACACACGTCCATACACATACATACCTGCATACATACACGCATGCATGCATACATATACATACATTCATATATGCATGTATTTGTTTCTTCGTTTGTGGTTATGTACACATACAACCCCCGAATCCGTGCTTTGTGGTTAGCTGAATCAAACATGCGGGACGCGGAGCATCAGCAGCAGCAGCCATAAGATGGAATAGTGCGACATCGAAGTCTTGTTCTCGGCATTAGAGCGTGAATCAGACATAAGAGTCTTGGTGTCGGCCGCCTTCGCAACAGCAGTGAGGCACGAATGGTACATCGAAGTAGTCGTGTTGGCCCTCTCCTCAGCATTCCTGAAGAACCAGGAATTGAACATCAAAGTATTGTTTTCGGCCGGTCTTTGAAAGCCAGTCAACCACGAAGAAGACATCAATGTGTTGCCATCGATCGGTTTCTTAACAGCAGTGCATCATGCGGGCGAACGACAGCAGCATCTCTGCGACGAATCTACGCTCTTTCTCCGAAGACGTCATGTAGCTCCTCGCGCGGAGATGACTGCTGGAGGGAAATGCTGAGACCGGAAGCACGCTTCGCCTTCCCGCCCCCGTGCGTGCACCTCGGAGGTTCATTAGCTCGGCTTCGCGTTTTTCTTTTCTTCCCAGTCCCCCCAGCTCGCGGCCAGGCAGCCACAGAGGCACTAGAAACTGGTCTCAGCATTTCCTTCCAGCAGCCATCTCCGCCGGACGATCTACGTCTTCGGCGGTTGCACTCCTTGCATGCAGCCCTGGTCAACTTTTCCAGACACATGGGTCTTGCAATCAGTGGGAGTGGGAGTGGGGGTGGGAGTGGGAGGAGGAGAAGTAGGAGTGGCAGTGGCAGTGGCAGTGGTATAGTGGTAGTGGAAGTGCAAGTAGTAGTAAGAGTAGGAGGAGTAGGAGTAGGCGTAGTGGCAGCAGGGGTACAATTTGTGGTAGTGTTGCCGCTGCTGCAGTGACTGCTGATCAGGTTGATATTCGCAACCGCAGCAGTGACGGCCCCAAAGCAGGGCAAGTGAAGAGAGCATTGAGAAGTAATCCCGCGTGGTCACAGAGGAGCACTGCAAAACCCAAGCCGACATTGACACATGTCCTGCGTGTGCGAAAATACGAGAGACAGATTCCCCTGCACCCTAAACGCTGCGCTGTGCATGCAAGCAAGCAAGAGATTGCCTTTTCTTAAACCTAGGTTGTTGAGATGTGCTACGATCGTTTTGCATCTCTTTCCCTGCAGGTTGAGACCCCGCTTCGCGAGATGGCTTGTTCGTGGCGAAGTCAAAGCCGCACCGTATCATCTTTGTCAGTTTGCAGCTTGTTGTTGGCCAGTTGGGTGAGACTTCCCACGTAAGAGCACAGTTCTATCCACCCGTGCCATGCCAGCTGTGTGCCCAACATCCAGTAGCAAGATGCGGTCTTTGACCTGGAGCCCTTCAGAACCCCTTCCACACACACACACACACACAGTAATTACGGTAACGGACGGGTTTCCACATGCCCCCCAACGTAAGAGGCTCCACTGTCAGCCTTTGGAGATGAAGATTTTGGGTGCGGCTGCCATGGCAACCAATTCGGGTGAGATGCCATGCTGCTCAGCTTAGATTGGCCGCTGCAAACAATCTATGCGTTCAAAGCATTGGCGCCGAGCCAATGAAGTTGAGCATGCTTGTAGTGCCCTGGATCCAGCTGTTGGAGCTCCCACTCACACACCACATGCAAAGTTCAACAGTCAAACTCAAGGCGAGTATGCTCTGTATCACCTTTACGGGCAAACTTTACTGTATTGGCCATCTGCTTTTGCTTTCCCTGCGACATCCTGCCTCGTACTCGTACCGGTTAAAAACAAGGTCTGGAAGTGGCTGCCGATGCCCATTCGTCAGCCTTCGCCAGAGCAAGTGCCAGGACGTCTGAAACCCTGCAGAGTCCTTTGCGGCTGGCGGTTTATGGCACCTGGATAGCAAGGAAGAGGGGTTCCACTTCATGGCGAGAATGCTCCTCGCATGTTCAGGTGAAGGGCTTGTGGCTGCGCAGGCTGCATCTGCTCTGGCAACTGGCCTGGCTAGCGCCATTGCAGCTGCTGGCCAAGCGGCTGAGGTGCTGTGGGGCTGTGCGGCTGTGCGGCTGTGCGTGCGATTGCCTCGCCTCGAACTGGCTTCCGTTGCAGGTCTCCGTGTGTTTGTTCCACGGCCTTACTGCGGCTGCTCGGTGTCGAAAGCTCCGTCCATCCTTGGGCCCCACCATTTTTGGGCGAACTCTGAGGCGGAGCTTTTGGCCGATGCGGATTCTCAGACTCTGCGGGACCTGCGCGGACGACGCGGGCCCGGGCTGCGGCAGCTGCTTTCCCAACAGCGCCCAGAAGTGCTTTTCCTCGTCGCTGGAAGTGCCGACCTGAGCCAGAAGGCGTTTTTCTATTGCTCAAAGCAGTTAATTTCGGTTTCGAGGCTGTGACCTGGGGCTCCGCGATGCGAGCCCCGATGAAGCCATGGGAAGCCTGCATGGGCTTGTGCGCAAAGCACAGGAGCTCGGTTACTTTTGGCAGCCTGTGAATTGAGACTCCAGCCACACTCGTGTGTAGTGGTCTTTCTAAATACCATCCCAAAGTCAGTCGCCACGGTTAGGCTTCGACGCCGCTTGTGTTTGTCATGGCGCTGCCTGACATCAGCAAATCGACGCAGTGTGCGTCTCTTCTCGGTGCAACTTTGGCAGCAAGGCGCGGACAGACGTGGACCGTGGAGACTCACATCATGACAGCTTGCGTTCAAGTATCCAGTCCAGAACTGATTGGCTTTTTCCAACAGACATTGGTTTCTGCTTCTGGCTTGTGCTTACATCTTGTATCTGTTTGCTTGAAACTGCTGTCTGAGAGCAAATGCATAGCTGACGACGATCTGCAGATTCCCAGGCGGCATGCCACAAATGCTGGTTTAGTCCAGTGGATCGACAACAGCACTGCGAAGTGGATCAATCCTGCCGCCCTGTTACCTCATGGGCCGAGGCCTGTCTCACTCTGTCCTGTCTGGCAAAGACGACTGCAAATACGTGATCGCGTACTGCGTTCTCTTTTGCTGTTGGTCTGTGTCGAAGCGCCCAGATGAGAAACGAGACTAGTCTTTTCCAGCAAAGGACGATGGAGGGCATGCGGCTCTGATTAGGCAGGCAATTGCACACAAGATGTGCGAACCTGCTTTGTCATGTAGTCGAGTGATAGTGTTCCATTTCTGCTTGTGCACTGATCTGGACGGGTTGCTGGGACGAGCCCATCTCCCTGATTGGATAGCGGCGACAACAGTTCGACTATGTGGCAGAAATGGAGCAGCACCACTATGTACCACCGTTCTGAATGTGTACCGTCGGTATTCACACGTCGGCAGGTGACCCATCACGGCAGCTAGATGTTCGCCAGAGCTATACAGCTAGCATTATTTAGATCTTAGGCTGGTGTTCCCTGACAGCGGTAGCGGTGAAGGAGAGAGTCTTCCTGGAGCCGGGAGACTTAGGACTTGCTTCCCAGCAGAACTGGTACTGCGGGGCGAGATCGCGAAAATTTGCGAGGAGGGAAGCAAGCAAGTGTCCTCTCCGCCCTCTTCCGGACGGGCGCGAGCCCCCGCAAGCCCCGCGAGCCGCTAGCAGCGGCCTCAGCCCCGAGCCCTGCGAAGGCGAAATGGCAAAAAGGCCTCCTCCGGCAAAATGGGGGGGGGGAGGGGCCGGGGGCTGTGGGAGGACGAAGCGATGCTACTTCTTCCGTTGACGACGCCGTCCTCGACTGGACCCGTAGGAAAAACAGACAATTGCAATTCGAGCTCAAGTGCCACATCTTTTCTGGCGGGCCTGTGTCTGCCTTGTTTGACTCTTGCTCTTCGGAGGGGGAAGCCGGCGGCGCTTGAGACGCGCCGCAAATCACAGGGGACGCCCGCAAAGAGTTTGGCAAAGCAAGCCTTCTGCCGATAGCAAGGGTCTTGCATGGTCTTGCGTGAAGGAGGAACCCCAAAGGTTCGAACCAAGGAGAGCTACCAAGACCAGCTGGAAGAGCATGATGAGCAGCTGCACGCTCTGGCCGACAAAGTGAACAAGACCGTACAGGGCGACACGACTGACACCGTGGCAGGGCACACTGGGAAAATCCACGCCGATGAGGAGAATGGATGAAGGATCGAACTAAAAGCACCAGAGGCACCACGAAAGCTCGGGGCAGACTTGTTCGTACCCAGAAGTGCGAAGCCGACCAGGGTGCCCTCGGCCCTTGTTACTACCAGGCATGGGAAGGCATGGCAGTGTGCTGTCGCGAAAAATGTGAACACGCTGTGCTTGGCGGATCGTCTGCCAGAATCTGGCCACTCCAATGTGACCGTGAGTGATAGGATGGTGTTTCTTGGAAAAACTGGCACTTGATTTCAATAAATGGTGGGCACATTGTTGCCGCTTGATAACTGCTGCCCCATGCACTGTTTGATGGCGCTGTGGACCTGTAATTGCCGTACGGTTGCTTTCGACATCTAGGGTGTGAATGTTGTGCGAGGATCGCCTCATACGATACCCGTGAGGAAGACCTTCCACTCTCCAAGGTCCGAATCAATGACCTGTGAATTCGCTTTGCATGCTTGTTGTTTGCCTTTGTGTTTTGTATGTGGTTTGCTGTTTGTGAAACGGTGTGAGTGTAGGTGTGCCTTGCGGCTAAGGCATACTTGCCGTACTTACATGATTCCCATCCCCCACCAGTCTTGAATTAGATACCACCTGGACAGAAGGGCTCTGTGTCTGACCTGGGCCTTCTGCCCGAACGCGCGAAGCGAGCGAGCGTTTGTATCTGTATTTGTGTATCTATCTGTACACGCCATTACCCGCCTCTGTCTAGGTCTAGGTGTCTATATCTAAAGCCTAAAGTCGAAAGGTACATGCAGCAGGTGGATGGATAGATGGATGCAAGATTGAGATGGTGTGGTGCCGGCGCTGGTGCAGGTCTGTTGCAGCCGGGTGCTGGGACAGCCATCTGCTTTCAGAGAACGGGGTCCCCTCCTCGGCTTGAGAATCGTCGAGGTATTTTTGCACAGCCTGTGCTCGTTCCAGGCCCGGATTCTTGCGGAACGGTTGGTTCTGTCCGTTCTCCCTCGCATCAGAGCCACGTTGGAGCATGGCGGCGCTTCGCAGGCTTTCGTGCTTGAGAAGTCAGACCGGGGAGAGAGAAAGAAAGAGAGAGCGAGAGAGCGGGGCGCACCTGCGCGCGGTATAAGGGGTAACACCCTTGGCGAAAGAAAGAGCGGGGATGGGTAGTGCGAAGAGCAAGTAGAGTTGCAGTTGGGGGGTGGAGCCCACCAACTTTGCAAGTGGCAGCAGAGAAGCAGTTGTCGGGGATGCCGCAGTGAACGCGGGATGAGCTTGCGGGATGAAGAGTTTCTAGTGGATGCGCTGCCACTGGCCTACCAGTAGTCGAACTGGGGAGCCCGGATGACCCGTCTGCCGCCTGAGAGGTCTTACAGGGGGATGGTTTAGGAGGTTTGGTGTTGTGGGGGAATGGGTTTACAGGCACAGAAGGGGGAACGGAAACGCTCCCACCCCCGGACGGGGCCGCACAGACTTGACAGACGCGAGCCGTTGAGCGGGTAGGCCTTCGGGCCAGGGGGCTTCGGCCCTCATACCCGTCAGCAAGCAAGCAAGCAAGAGCGAGAGAGAGACGAAGCAGAGCCAGGGGAGATTTGGGAACACACCCAGCCCTGCAACCAGTCACCCCGACCTGCGGACACCAGCCATACAACGAGACACCGCCACCTAACCCCCACCAAGCGGCAGCAGCACTCACGGAAGTGATCCTGAACTGCGGCAGTTGAGCGAATGTCCGCTGCTAGTTTGCCCAGGCTTAGGTGGGTGTGGGAAGGTGAAGGCAGTGTTGCGCGAGGTTCTGTTCGGGATCAGGTGGGGCGACGCCTCTTTCCGCCCCGAATAGGGCTGAATAGAGGCCTCTCGGATAGACTGCTCGCGGACCGTGGTGGGGTAGGCCTTCGGGCCAAGGGTCTTTCGAGGCCCTAGACCCCTCAGCAAGCAAGCAAGAGAAAGAACATTGTGTGTTTGGGCGGCCGATGGGCTGCAGGTCACAACGGAGACGCAGCTGCCGTCTTTGGATGCCTTTATGGAAGCATTTCGGTTGGAAGACGATGCAGAGGCCGAGTCTGTCGGTCGCGGTCGTTTCTCTTAAGTTAAGCGGATCCGCAAGTCTTTCTTCGGTTTTCTTGCCCTGTCAAGCTTTGTGCCGTGCTCTTCCCAAAAAGTGAGCCCTATCATCTCGGTTTGATGCAGGCAGACGATGCCAACGTACAGGATTTCAAGCCGCCCTCGCCAGCGTGGGAGGTGCCCAGAAAGTCATAAGGTTTTGTTTCATAGCGTGTCGTCCGTGTAAGGTGCTTGCGCGGACACCTGCCTTACCCGAGGCGGATGCTGCGATTGTTCTGCAGCGCGGCCTTCGACGTGTGTGCACCTGGGGGAGCAGGTCGTACAGGCGTGGCCGGTCTTGACAGGGCTGTGGCTGAGTTGAAGCCACCTGGAGACCCGGGCAGGCTGGCCTTGGCGAGACTGGCTGTGCGGCAATGCTTAAGCAAAGCGCACTCTGCCACACTGCGGCCCGTAGTCAGCTCCTGGGGGGTGCGACTGACAGCAGCATGAGCGAGAGAAAACGGCTCGGGAAACCAATACCTCACAGCGTAAAATTTGGTCATGGATTTGAGTAGGGAGTAGGGAGATGAACTTGAATGCCGCGCAAGAGTGTTTTTTTTGGCCTCGGAGGTCATGAGACAATACCACAGTGAATTTCATCCGAAGCTTGATACTTTCCCCCAGTCCCCTTGCGTGTTCGCACCCTGTTCACAGGTAAAGTTGCGTCATAACTCACCAGTTTTTGATGCGAGACCTTCGGCCATGGCAGCGGTGCAGACATCGACAGCCACAGCAACCGCTCGAATCGTGGCATGGATGCACCGTCGCCAGCTTCTTGGCTTCAAACTTGGCTGATCTCAAGCTGCATTCAAGAGGGCCGACGGTGTGCCAATTTGATATTGCTTGCTCGTAGATGTTTGAGCCGGATAGTGTGTGTGTGTGTGTGTGTGTTCGCGATGTTCGCGTTGCAGTGAAAATCTGACACACAGTCGTGCGTGCAGGTAGCACTGGGTATCATTCCCGGCTTGTGACTGTTTTTCAAGACTCCGCAGTTCGCAGATCCCTCAGCGGCCTCAGCATCGCGATGTACATTCCGATTGCTGGCCAGGGTCGCGTGGCAGCACGTGGACCATATTTGGATCCATGCGCAGCTGAGCAAGTGGCTTGACTAGTCCTGGCCAGGCCCTCCAAGTCTGGAGCTCAGATTCGTGCTCGTCTGACTGCCGTGGCCAAAAGGGGCCGTGTGAAGGTACGCAAGATGTTGCGTGAGGCTGGATGCCGCATGCTTCGCCGTAGGCTCAGCCCTGGAATTTCTCGGGGGCTTTAGACTACCGACTTCCGCTCGACATCAGAGGACGGAGTCTTGACGCATGAGAGATGCTGCGGTGACGTCCTCAAGTCCTTACAACAACGTCGAGCAGGGTTGAACCTGTGCCTAACTGTTCCTCGTCCTAGAGCCAGCTGCAGCTTCAGGCGAAGCGAAGCAGGCGAAGCGCGTCAGTTGGTGGGGTGGCCAGGACATGCCTAGAGTTCAGACTCTTGTCCAGACGCCAACCGCAAGATTTTAGCAGGAGGTTCGCAGTTTTGCGGATGCCTCAGTGCCGCAAAAGCCAAACGACCCAGAATCCCGAAGCGTAGGGCACTCAAAACCCTTCAGAAAGCACAGTCAGCATGTTCCGGTCAAAGGCGCACCTGGCCCTCTTTGTCATCCAGCAGCGTCTGCCCACAGCCTAGACTCGGAGGAGAGATGAGGGGTGCATTTATCTGCCTGCAAAGCATCTTGCCTTCATAACGAGGGGCTGTTTTCCCAGCGCTAGCTTGGACATGGCGAGCTGCTGTGGCAGAATCCCTGGCAATCCGCACAGCATCGCGTCACCGCACGCTGCGCTTTCGAGTTGGAGCTTCTGCTTAGGCAGCCCTGCATCGACACACCTGGGCTTCGATTGTCCGAGCCTTGTGGAATCTTCTTTCAGGTGCGTTGTGCCGCATCTGCTCGGGAGCTGTTGCTTCAGGTTGGGATGGTGGCTTCTCAAGAAAGCACTGCTGTGGTCGCGCAGCTGCAATCTCTCTCTCTGAGTCTCTGCCACGGCGAGAGCTCCACGAGCTGAGGCCACCTTTCTGAGCTGTCGCAGATCCCGCTCAAGCGCTCTCCTGAGTGTCCGCCCTGTCCTGTGCCGGTCCTGTGCCGGCGTGAGAAGCTGTGGCCTAACGGCCTGCGCCTTCCGCGCAAGGCCTTCCGAATGCTTTGTGGGAAGTGACTACACCTTCGAGAAGTGTTGTAGCACTCGGGACGCCACTCGGTGCACAGACTCCTTTAGAATCGTTGTCTCATGCTGGATATGCTGACATTCAGGCGGGCATGCTGCTGGGCTGCTGGGATTTTCGCTTCAGCTGGACACTTGCTCACGACAGGGCACCATGGATCGAGTCGGATCGAGGGTATACAAGCTGTTGAGGTTACGAGAAGTGCTGCATTAACAAGGGTGCTGAGGCGGTCAGCTTGGTGTCCGCTTCCTCAGTGGGAAGGTGCTTGTGCAGTCGTGGTTGCTTTTGCCATGGCCGGTGCCCAGTCTGGCTGTGTTGTGTATGCAGCAAGTAGGCCTGCTGAGAAAGCAGGTGGCCGAAGCAAGAAATTGTGAAGCGACTTTCTGCCGCTGCAAGCGCACACGACACACGCACAGACATACGTAGGCATGCATGCATACATGCACCATCATGCACCTAGTATTGTAGGCTATATTTTTATATGTCTCCTAATTATCGGTCTGGTGGGTAGGAATTAGGAGATCAGTTTCGCGATCGTTGGAACAGACTTGATCTATTTTCTCCGTGGCCATTTTGGCGATAGCCGATCGGGCCATACCGAAAAATCGGCGTGGGAGGTGGAAGTGAATAGGCTCGCTCGATCGCAGCCATGTCGTTCCCTCCCGCTGGCTTCCATCAAGGTCGGCAGATGGCGGCTCCGATGGCCCCACAGTTCGGGTTGCCTCGCCGGCTTGGTCAGCCTGAGAATCCGGGCAACTGGGGACACTACGTTCCAGGCGAGGCAGAGGCTCCCGAGAATCCCGCGGCTCCAGCTGCCGCATCCGGCGATTGGGGCTCTGGAGGCTGGGGTCGCGACGATCGTCGTGGACGTCGTGACCGCGGGGCTCCTGCTGCCCACAACCCCTTCGCTGTTCAGCGGCCTGAGTTCGTTCGCCAGGTCGTGGTCGAGGAAGAGGACGAGACCCAGAACTCGCTCCTCGTCATCGACAACCGCGACGACCGGGTGATCTCCCCGTTCCAGAACTGGCTGGCCGAGGAGATCATCTCGAATGCCGCCAGCTCGATCAATGTGCTGACGGAGCGGGACTCGGTCATGCCCCCGAACTCGGGCTACCACTGTTCGCTGTTCGCGAACTATACGCTCGATGGCATCAAGGCCGTTCTGCTCTTTTCGATGTCTTCGAAAACAGGGGGACCATGTGCTCAGTGGGACTCCTACGCGAGTCGGGCGCTATCGCACCCGGCTTTCCAGCCCTTCACTTGGCCGGTGATGTTCGACACCTCGGCCACCTATGTGGATGTGAAGGTCTTCAATGGAAACGAGGTCCTATTCCATTGGGTCTTCAGGGGCTACCGCTCGGACTCGGATCTTTCTGTCCAGCAGCAGTTCTGCGACGAGGTGTTGATCCGGTCAGCCAACGAAGGATGGTTCCGACCCTCGATCGTCATCTCGGTCTTCGTTGGATGGAAGGTCTCCGTGACCTCGTTCGAGGTTGGAGCCCGAGTCTACACGATCGGCCCGAGAGGAGCAGTGATGGCGAGCGACCATGCCATGAGCACCTGTGAGCTCAGGGTGACGGAACGCTCGTCCCGAGAAGGCTATGGGAACGACGCCGATCGTGTTGAGTTTCGGTTCCGGGACGCCAACAACCGGATCGATCTCAAGTGCGGGAGGACTTCGGTGCCTGGCACGTGGCTCACAGTCAGCCACATCTCGGGCCCCGCTCTGATCAGCACGATCCAGGCCTGTCGGACCCAGCGTGCTCGCGTGGAAGGTCCAGACCACATCCAGCAGTTCGCGCAGCTGTCTGCGGTGATCGCCCCCTGGTACCACAGTGCGTTCGCCCACGAACAGGTGCAAGTGGGAACTGCGACAGACGAGTTCCCGATGGATCATGGGAACTTCCACGTACGGGCTAGATCTAAGCTCAGGGTCTGCCCACTGGAGTTCGTCCGGCAGGAGGCGCTCGCCCACCGGTCGCACGATGAGAACAACGCCGTTCGAGCTCGGAACGGCCCCCCGGCTCTCATGGAAGAGGCGGCTCGGCAGGCGGTTCAGCAGCTGGGCTCCTCGGTCACTTCGGCGCTCACCAACATGCCCACCTCGGCTCAGCAGGTGTTCGACCAGAGGGTGAGCACTGTTCCGGTGCCGGAGGAGGGCCAGCTCGGCCAGGAGCAGATCGCCGAGGAGGTCGTCACCGATGCCCGCGATCGCATGAGGGCCGACATGCGATTCTCGCGCACGTCGGCTGCGATCACGCCTCAGGTTTTCACCGACGTGCTCCAGCACCGTGAGCAGGCGGAGTACGAGCGGATCAGCACGGTCAGGGTGGAGGAGACGGGCCAAGAGATCACGGCTTCCCCCTCCACTACGACCACGGTGCCGAAGGCGTTCGCCCCGGCCTACCCGCCGGCCAGATCGTCAACGGGGCCCTACACGATGGACAATACAGACTAGTTGTCGATCGAAGCCTAGGTGATGGTCGGTTTTTGTGCACGCTCCTAAGAGAGTGGTGCGCCGCGCGACCGAAGCCTCCTGGCGGATCAGCCGGGCTCTTCCGCGGAACAAACATGCCGAGCGATCCTCTCGGCGCGCTAGATCCCAGCGCATGTTCTGCCGGAAGTGAGATTGATCAATACCTGTCTCAGGCACGGCGCTCGGTTACCATTAGCAGGCACGTGCGATCGTTCGTGCAGCTGTTCAGGCCCAGCATGGATAGGTCCGTTCGGAAGATCCTATCCCTCCCCCTGTTCGGGGATGAATTTTGCCAATGGTTGGTGGATCTTCGGATGGCTCAGTTCGAGAAGCTCACGGCTGTTTCGGACGGGACGATCGCTGAGTGTGTGCAAGCATTCATTGATCTTGTCCCTGCCCTCGAGGAACTCCACACGCCAGATCGGCGGAAGAACGAGGAGGAGCTCGGCAGGTGGGTTCCGTCGATCGAGCTGTTGTTTGTGCTGGTTCGTAGCACGGCAGCAGCGGGCTGGGCTGATCTGGCCACTGATCTGGGATTCGGCTTGGCTGAAGCTCCGGTCGTCTTCGGGCGATCGCCACTGAAGTCGAAGGGGACTGGCAAGGAGCCTCCTATGCCATTGCCGCTCGCCAAGAGGCCGCGGGCGATCGAGCCGAGGCCTGAAGATCCGCAGGCATCGCTCAAAACCCGTGAGCTCGGCGAGGCCCGAAAGTGGGGCATGAGGCTGAAAGCGATCGTGGAGAGGTGCGGCGAGCACGCCGCGATCGCGGGCAACCCGAAGCCGGGATCACCCCTGTCCCAAGATGAGATGAATGCATTGAGGTTGATCGTCTTCGAGAGTGGCGGTTTCCGCACTATCCAGCAGTGCGTTCGTCACTGGGAGAGGATTGAGACTTGGGCGAGGTCGCAGAACCTAGCGGTGATCCCGCTGACTACCGACGTGCTCGTCAAGTACCTCTTAGATCTCTCCGACCGAGGTTGCGGCCCCACCGTGATACCTTCGGTACGTGGGGCGGTCAAATGGATCTGCAAGCGGATCGGCTTGTCGTTGCCCGACCTCCTCGATCCCCGGATCATGGCCTTGCAGAAGAAGGTCTATGGCGATCGCGGGAAAGAGACGAGGGAAGCGGTTCCCATCCCTCTGATCTTGGTGGCGGCGCTCGAGCGGTTCGTGTGCGCTCGTTTTAAGTCGAGCCAATTCCCCATGGCGTTCTTCGCATGGTGGGTTCTCGTGATGATCTACTCGTCCCTCAGGTTCGACGACGCGCTCCACGTCGTGCCCGAGGCGCTCGCCCTGAAGGACGAGGCTCTCTATGGGGTGGTTTGGCAGACTAAGGTCGAGCGACAAAAGAAGGGAACGCGGTTCGCGGCGGCCAGAGTCTCCGTCTCCGGATCCGACTGGATGGAAGACGGATGGCACGCAGCTGCGTTCGAAATGGACGATCGCGACTACTTCATGAAAGAGCTCGAATCGGCTGAGCGATTCGCCGATCGGCCTGCCAGCTACCAACGGAGCATCCTGTGGCTGCGGTACGTGCTCACTACTGCAGCTTCGGACGATCTGAAGCGCGGGCACATCTCGCCCGAGCGGCTCAAGGAGCTCCTGAAGATCGTGCCGGAGATCACCTGGCACTCCTGCCGGGTCACGCTGCTCTCGGCGGCGGTCCAGGCGCAGGAGCCCGATAAAGAGATCGGGCTCCAAGCGAACTGGAAGGATCCAAGCCAGCTGGTCCTGAAGTACGCTCGGAGCCGCAAAGAGATCTCGATCGAGATGGTCAAGCGGCTCACGAAGAGGATAGCATCCGACTGGAAATCTCCACCGGAGTTCGAGGCCGACGATACCAATCTGGTCGACTTCGGTGATCTCGCTCTGACCTATGTCACCAAGGCTAGATCGGCTGCGGGGTCCTCAAGGGATCTGAGTCTTAAATATCATGCCATGTATATAGATGGTACGGGCACGGAGCGAACGCTCTGCGGCCGGTACGCGATCACCGAGTGCGAGGATCTCGGCGAGATTCCGCCGAGTACTCAGATGTGCTCGTTGTGTTCCGGTAAGATCTTTACGGAGCCGTGAACACAGCTGTTCGCAGTCACGATGGCCACTCGAGCTGAGCCTCTCCCTGACCGTAGCTTTTCTTTTCAGACAGCTCGTTAGGCAGCCATGGTCGATCGCACCGCATACGCGAATGAGGCGGCGACCCCGAAGCTGAACCTGCGCCAGATCTTCGGGAGACAGGGGCTAGATCCAGCCCTCTGCAGGCTCTCGGCCGACAAAGGTCTCCTCACAGTCGAGATGTTCGCAATGCTGGGGCAGGATCTCACCTCGGCGAAGGCGACAATCCGTCGGCTGTGGCAAGATGACTTGACCCCGCTCGGGGCTGATGCGGCAGCACAGGAGCTCTCCGTGATGTCCTTGGCGGCGGTGTGGCAAGCTGCTCAAGCGCTGCAAACGCAATACGCCTCTCGGCGAGCTCGTATGGAGGAAGACCCGAACAAGATCCCGGAGCTCTCCCAGGAGGACCACGCGGAGTTTCGCGATCGCTTCGTGAGGGTTCACCCCGACGTCATCCTGATCGACGCCAAAGAGCCGCATAAGAAGTTCGTCGAACGGCTGTCCCGCGATTTCCTGATCCATGGGATAGTTCCGTTCTACGAGCCGGCCGAGATCAGGACCCGATCGGATGTGATAGTGGTCAAGTCTGGACTTTCTCGGAACGCCGAAGATCTCCTGTCCATCTCTAAGGCTGATCAACCCGAGCCGGT